CCATATATCGGGCCAACCCCAGTTTGAAATTCAGGAGTGATGTGAATGTGGCTATGTCAGTAGGTAGTTGGTTCCAGTCAGTTATGGTAGCAGAACACAGTATTCCTCCGCGACCCCCGGAGACGATGACGTAGGGATAAGAAATGAGTGCGACAAACAGCTTGCACCGCTTGTACACAGCCTAACGTGGATGACACCGGGACATACAGGTTACCGTACGGTACCATAATATGTCGGCTTTGATATCGCATAATTGAGATTAGGAAGGCTGCTCGGTCGGCGTATAAATGCGCGTGACCTTTTCGCTGCCTGCCAGGGTGAGTCGGCTGCAGTTCCGGTGCGCTCCGCAGGAGGTCATTTAAAAGAGGGCGACACAATGTAAAAAAAACGATAACTTTTTGTACTTTTTGTTATTTTGTACATCGTACCCTATATTTGAACATATTCGTTTCTCGTGCTTTTCTATGGTACCCTACTGTATTTTTATCCGCGTCGATGTCAGTCACTTCCGGGTCCTTAACTATAGAAATCCCCATAGGCGAAAAACTGTGTTCTGCTACCTTATAGTGCGTGGTATGTAGCTGCTGCGTTGTGTATCTGTTTTACAGGAGAATGTTTGTAGACGTAGTGGGTGACCTCTGGTGATATAACTATATGTTGTCATCAGTTTGATTGAGAAACAAAGAGAACAAAATCAGAGAACTAAACTTGTCAGAACTGGCGTGTGCTTGTCTTGTCAGGGGAAATGGTGTCGAATTGGTTCATTAATGTGACCCCCCTCTGTGTGCGCGTGTGTGTCTGTCTGTGACTATCAGTAGTAAAAAGCGCCACCCAGCGAGTACAACATTAACGACATAAACAAAGCCGATACAGTTTCTTGCTGTTGTCTATCACAAGTTAGATGAGACATCATCTTTGCAATGTCTATTCCGGTTGACGTGCACGCCATACATACAGACATACCATAGGAAGTCCAACCGTCAATAATCATAATCATAATCAGCCAATATTCTGTAATCTTTTAAGATTAAATCTTCTTTGGTCGGCCATTCTTTTATCATGAATTTTAGACAAATCATACGCAAAACTATGCACGGGGGATTCATATGTCCTGTTAATTCCAAACAGTTGTACATTATACTGGAAGACAGAAGAAAAATGTCCAGAGTATGCATGATGTACAAAATAAACTGGTGGACGTACCAACTACTAAGTACCTAATACCAGCCCAGAAGAGAACAAGAAATAGCCATGTCTTCAAGTACCAGTTATCAACCAAGGATTGAGGTGTTCAAGAATTCATTCTTTCCTAGAACTATCGCAGAGTGGAACTCGATGTCACCAAGTACAGTAGGGGCATTGTCATTAGATAGCTTTAAACAATGTCTAGAGTTAGATGTTCAAGGGTTAGGTGTAACAAGTCGATCGGTGTAATGTAGCTAGCTGCCGCCTCGCCGCGTGCCTGCGAAGCTGGTGTGTTACGCCGAAAGGTGGTTATATTGGCTATACAGATACAGATTGTACTTACCCTGGATCTGGATGCATTACAAAATGCAGGGAGAGAGAAGCACCATTCCGCCATATTGGACAGCCACCTGAATGTCTCATGCAGTCTGACCTCCTTTGACCTCTAACCTTAACTAAGCTGTAATACACTATAATAATCAATAAAATGAACATTTTTATTTCCTTAGGCAAGCAATGTACAACGCAGAGGATGTATGGCTGTATATATCATATTTGGAATCAGATGCAACATGAGTCATTGTAACATATGCCTGTCATATAGTTGAAATGGTTAACATGCCAATAAATTACTGATATGTTAGGCCATGTTGATTTGATTATATGGATAACATCCTATGGAAACTGATGCGAGCGTGCGAATAAAAAAAAGCTTTGCAAAAAAAAATTGCTTTCATTATGAAATCTGCCTGGTCATGAAAGATGAACACATGGTATGGCGAATAATCTACTCTTCAAATTAGTTTCTTTACATATTCGTCTTTTTCGTTTGATTTTGGTTTGATTTTTGATTCTAAGACATTGGTATCTTTTTCAAATATTTTTTGGCAACTGTTTTGTACGATTTACAGTATGGTTGATAACTTTTTTGGGGGGAAAACGACCGAAAATTCATGCGCGCGCGGATGTCATCCATATAATTAAATCAACATGGCCTTACAGATACTTTCTTCATGACGTGTGAACAACAGTCATAGTATGCATGTAGTCCCAATATTTGACACCATTGCAATATATAAAAAGAAGTACTTTGTCATGCATATTTCAAAACAACATGCTCCAGCTTTTAAAATGTCAGCCTTTTCAGCAGACAAGACATAAAAGTGACAATGATGCAACATGCAATTCCATTATTTCAAATATCTTTGGCCTTGTAAGCAAATGTGAGCTGTTCCATATTCAATATGGTTCCAACAGTCAGATATTTTAATACTTTGACTTCAATTATAAGTCATATCCACTTGATAAAAGTCATATCCACTTGATAAAAGCATTCTAGTGCTGCTAGCCCTGAATACAGACATATCACAAGATCATAACTGGAAACGAGCTTCCGTACAGGTGCAGCGGAAACGGAAACGCGTCATGTCACTTTTGCGTCGTTCCCAAAGTGACTTGAAGAGTAATGTGTATATACAGTATATGTAATGCATATGTATAACAAATGTTATATCCTCATAGTCACTGTGTGTGTAACAGATTGTTTTAAAACACAAGGTCGCATGCCTTGCATGGTAAGATGCATCCATTCATTTTATGATGAATACTCTTTCATTCTACTTAAGAAAAATAACAATAACCTTAAACTTTTCAAGTCAATGGCCAACAAATGTCCTCACTGTCTAGTACAGTAATCCAAAACATTTGAGTGGCTCCCATGAGCCGTGTTTTTTGGTAAATATTAAGTAAATAAAAATAAAACCTTCACTGAACCGCGACGGGGGCCGACATCGTCTACCAGATACCTTTGACCCAATGTTGACGTCACACTTCGAAGAAGCCACGTGACAAGCCTCACTGGGTTAGTCTAATGAGGAAGACCAGAGTGACTGGTCGAAAGCTCTAGGTGAGAGAATTTTTATGTTGGATCGAAAGTTTTCTCTAAACAAAAAAATAAAAACATTTGTGATGTGATGGTTGATTGATAGTAAGACGGTCTCTAAACCTCACACAGCTAATATATGGAAGACATGATAACAATAAGAGTGATAAATGACAGCACAAAGAACAACACAAGTAAACATCTGTCCATTTTCACAGCTAAACTTTTCCACTCTTCTTCAATCGCCTCTGTTGATGCCTTGGATCTTCTGGTTCGCAGCATTTCCTCTAGATGTTCGTTGATGATGTCGATTCTCTTGTGAAGCTCCATATAGCGGATGCTTCTGTCTTGCAGCAGGTCTGTTTTCTCAAGGGAAGAACTGTCTCGTCTGATGCGGTTCAGCTCCGGCAGTTCTCGTTGCTCTCGCGATATTTCGGGGTCCGCGTGGTGGTTCTCGCGAGATTCTCGCGAGAGTTGTTTACACTTACAGGCCTTGATGAAGAAGATGCGCTTGAGCCATTTGGGTACCGGGCGGATGTTGGGACCCCGGAAGTGGATACTAAGGATGAAGATGGTCAGGACGGAGGACAGGGCGACGATCACGATAGTCGCTCCAAAAAACTGACCTGAAATGACAAGGAAACAAAAACATAATTAAATTTAGTGATGGCTCAAACATATTCATTTATCTTTCTAGACAGATAAATGTAGAACGTTCATCCATCCATCCATCCGTCCGTCCGTCCATCCATCTATCCATGCATCCATCCATCCATCCGTCCGTCCGTCCGTCCGTCCGTCCATCCATCCATGCATGCATGCATCCATCCATCCATCCATCCATCCATCCATCCGTCCGTCCGTCCGTCCATCCATCCATCCATCCATCCATCCATCCGTCCATCCATCCATCCATCCATCCATCCATCCATCCATCCGTCCGTCCATCCGTCCATCCATCCGTCCATCCATCCATCCATCCATCCGTCCGTCCGTCCGTCCATCCATGCATGCATGCATCCATCCATCCATCCATCCATCCATCCATCCATCCATCCATCCATCCATCCATCCATCCGTCCGTCCATCCGTCCATCCATCCATGCATCCATCCATCCATCCATCCATCCATCCATCCATCCATCCATCCATCCAATTATGCATCCATCCATCCATCCATCCATCCGTCCATCCATCCATTCATCCATCCATCCATCCATCCATCCATTCATCCATCCAACCATCCATCCATCCATCCATCCAACCATTCATCCATCCATTCATTCATTCATCCATCCATCCATCTATCCATCCATCCATCCATGCATCTAACCAACCAACCAACTAACAAACAACCTATTAACCAACCAACCAACAAACAAACAAACCATCCCGCCCTCCCTTCATTCATTCATTCCATCATCTACTTATTCAATGAGTCAATCATTATCAATACAATTCATCCCTCCATCCATTTTCTGTATGCATACCACTATCTAATACTATCTGCCTCTGTATTTCCTACCTGGTGTAGAAAAATAAGATTTAATCATGAATATATGGCAATGTCGATCGGCCCTTCCGAGATCAAAGGTTCATGTCCCTGAGCCAACATAACTACCGCCTAGCTTTGACCGGATTACCAAGTACCTGTAATCAACGAGTTTCAATGGGTCCCGATTGGACCATTATCACACAATCTCATCTGTAAGCCCGATCTGGACAACCTGTGGCTCATTTCACTATCGACCGGTCATTCTTCAGGTGATTCCATTCTTAAAGGCATCCAGTGCAGTTTTTAGGGCGTGGAAACCCGATTTTTCAAAGCCAATATTCAAGTCATTTATCTACATACTGAGTTGAAACTACACTATCCCAGTGTATATTGACCCTCATGGAGCAAAAATTCCCAAAATTCTGATGGAAAATGGTTACTGGAAGGGCCCTGGGCTGATTTTTAGGGTACCACCCAGAAAATAAAGGACTCATCTTGGGGCTTGTTTCTGCAGTTTTGAATACCCAAAGTATACAATGCTGACTCAAATGTGAAGCAGTATGTGTCAATATGCCTTTTTTTATTCAGAATATTTCCAGTTTTGCTGCCCTGAAATCGCATTGGATGCCTTTAAAGAGTATTCCAAATGCACAAATACAGAACGTTTTTAAAAGATTTCAATTTCCCCCTGTGTTATCTATGTATTGTGCCCTCTCTTATCATTGGGTGGGGAACCGGACTTGCACTTTTGAATTTCCTGTATTTACTGTTTTGCCTGTCTTAAAGTTGCGTTTGTTTGTTTTCTTTATTATATGTATTTATTTCAGTGGTGCCGTAAACATAAGTGCTTTCCACTTGAGTGCGGTACCACCATGTCTTGTACCTTTTTCTGTGTGTATGAATAAAAAAAAATACAGGTACATGTAGTTCTAAGATCGAAAAACTGGTATTGCTAAAATATGCTGGGGTGGAAAATGCTTTCTGATTTTGCGTCCACTTTCATGAGACGCAAAAGACGCAAAGATGCCCAGTGAATACACCTGTAACCTCACACGCAGGTTCAAAATAACCAAACATTGATCGTTTGTTATTTTTAATAATCCTCCCTGTCTCTATTAGAAATTGATTTTGCTACATTGAGTGTAATTTGTCATTTCATTCAACTGTTGATGATAGATTGATATAATTTCTATGTAGTCCAGTAATTTGTAGCCAGAACTATAATTGACGTACCAAGCGTATTATTGCCTTCTGAGGGATTCGTTCTTATTAAAAATTTGTGATGATGAATTTGGTTCAGTGTTCCAACTATATGCTCTCAGGTTTTGTGCATTCAACGCCGCAATGGACAAAGTATATTCAGAGCTTAGGCCACACCAATTCAATTTGTTGGTTCTTGGATTGGCCTCTTAATTTTTTTTTCTGATTTGCAAAATGGTTCTGAATCAACTCAATTATGTTCATATTTTGCCCCCATTGAGGAAAGTCCTTTTCTTCCTAGTTGTTATAGTTTTTCCATCTAACAATGCAGTGGTTTGATTAAAAGTTCAAAATTCATTGTTTGAATATTAACCCAGCCTTTTGTGTTGACTTAATGGCTCCTATCATAACATTTGGGGTTATAATAGGATACCTAGACGGTGTTTTTATTTTTTTTTTTTGCCCTGTCGCTTCATATTTTTCAGAAAAAATCCGAGAACCAACAAATAAAATTGGTGTGGCCTTACATATACTTTATCACTCACAGTGCTTCCTGAATTATGGAATAATAATTATGAAACCATTTTGTATGAAATCATTCATTCTTGCACAGTACAAGCTGCCTCAAACAATAAAATTAGTGTGTCATAAAAATTGACCTACACGGTATGGGTACTTAAGCATTGAGTTTAGATGGTGACCCATTGATCAAAGCCAATGTAGAATCAATACCTTCATTTCAATCAGGACATTTAATGGCGTAAAAATTACCAGTCCATACTTCAAGCTGACCTAGAAGCCTTACTGCATCCATCCATCCATCCATCCACCCATCCATCCATCCATCCATCCACCCATCCATCCATCCATCCATCCATCCATCCATCCATCCATCCATCCATCCATCCATCCATCCATCCATCCATCCATCCATCCATCCATCCATCCATCCATCCATCCATCCATCCACTTATCCTGCAATAAACGTAGAAAAAACTTGTCGACCTGGCTAGCAAAGTTGTTTGCATATAACTAGAGATATCTACCTACCAACAATTGTGCAGTCCTACATGTCACCTTATTGAGGGCAATATTGGTAGTTCTACTTCTCGCTGCTAGGCGGCGCTGCAATAGGAAGGATGCGGTCCCGAACGTGACTACGTTTGTATCCCCCCTCCCCTCACCCTTCTCTTGGTTCATTACTGCATGGGTCGATTGTTTGGAATGAAGGCATGGCGAACCCCGTCTTGTATTAAGCTAACGAAAGGGTATGCCACCTCGTAAGGGGCGGTATGACCCCGACCAATACGGTCGACCGATGATGATGATGATGAGACGGGCTACCAAAACGTTGGCAGATGGCAATCTCTTGGTTGTGTGCAAAAGAAATCTGTTCATCATTGAATTACCACCCTGATGAAGCTATTTAGTCTATAAAGTCTTTATCATATGCAGAACCGTGCCTACATCTAGCTCTATGCCTGAATGGGTTAGGGTTCTGGATAGTCTTCGCGAATTCAATGCATGAACCGTAGATTTGATATTTGTGCCAGGCATATTGTTCTGGATACGCATGGACCATCCAGAACCGTATCCAACCCTGTTCGAGCATGATTCTGGATGAAGCACGTTTCAGGATGTGCTATGGCTTAGGGTTCTGGATAGGCTTCGAGAATCCGACAACGTAGATTTGAGATTTGTCCAGGCATGGCTCTGGATACGCACGGACCATCCAGAACCGTATATCCAGGACCGCATGTGAGCATGATTCTGGATGAAGCACGGTTCTGGATGTGCTATAGGTTGGTTCTGGATAGTCTTCACGAATTTGAGAACGTAGACTTGAGATTTGTCCAGGCATGGTTCTGAATACTCATGGACCATCCAGAACCGTATATCCAGGACCGTGTTCGTGCATGATTCTGGATGAAGCACGGTTCTGGATATTCACCGTCCAAATTCCTTGTTCGGAATCTTTTTACAGTGACAGTTTCTTTCCCCGTACGGCCAAGCTTTGGAATTCCCTCCCTGACAAGTGTTTCCCATCAACCTACAATCTACAGGTTCACCGCCATCTTTTGACATAGCCATATTTCTCTCATATTTCTAGTTCAATGCAGAGAAGTGGTCGTATATAGGCCTTTCATTGAACCACTCCGTTAAAAAAATACAGAAGGCTTACCTATGAGTGGAATGGTTGTCGACGTTGCCGGTAGGCTATCCGCTACAAGCTGCATGAACACCACTAGTGACAGCAACATGGTGATACTGAGGGACAGTTTCTCTCCCGAATCCGGCGGTAGACAGAACCCCAACAGACTGATGATGACTATGATAATACACGGTGCGAGAACGTAATAGTTATAATACAGCGCCTTCCGCGCGATTTCTATAGTGAAGGTGACGTCTGGATACGGCTGGGTACAGCAGTTATAGTACTGAATGTTTTTCGCGGCGGCGAAGCTTACGAGATCCCATTCCTCGTTCTGGATGAAGTTCTCGCTGTCTCCCGTGGCGGAGGTGTTGACGATGTCCACGGCGAGGCCGTCGTACGCCCAGGAGCTGAACTTGAGCGGACAGGACTGGACGTCGTACGGGAACAGGGACACGTCCATCAGGCACGAGCTTTTGAGGGTGATGGGGTACAGCCACTGCACCGAGCCGTTATGGTTCACGTGAGCGTGTGTGTTGGGGGTTTCTGACCAACCCTCTTCGTGGATTCTGTTTTGAAAAAACAACAACATAGGTTTATTTTCCTTTGAAATGTCAACTAAATACATAATACTGTAGTGTCAATGATGCTGCTTCAAGAGATAAACTATTCATAATTTTTGATAAATAAAAAAAATAGTGAAATACATATATAGCATGATGACATGTTTTATCTTTGACGGGGGCCGCTACAGACTGCCAATGACCTTTAACCTGTTGGTGACGTCACGCCTCCATACAGTGACGTGCCCCTAGCAATTGTATTCTTTTATTCAAGAAAAAGCTTTTTGTCGGAAATTCAGTGAATCTTGCAAATTGGGCTGCAAAATAGACTGTACTGTACATTTGTTGATACAGTGTTCGTTTATTTGTTTGTTTTTTAGTACTAGTTCATGATTTCATATATATTTCTCACCTTTCATAGAGCACGATGTCTGGCCGCCATATCTTCTCACTCGGGATTCTGATAGAGGTTATTCCGTCATAGTCTTCGGGATTCCATACTAAGAACTCATCGTCCCAATACTACAATAAATAAGAGATAAAATGCAAGGTAGTTAATAAAAGGAGCTTTGGTGCTTGCAGGCACTGTGCTTTCTCATAAACTAAATTCTTACAGTTGGCTTTGGGCTCTGACAGCACATTCAAGATAAATGTTATTTGATGTTATTACTGATAAGTTTTGTTTGGCATCATTATACCCTGGATGCCAGACTAGTATCGGACCGCTAACCCTTTCCCTTCGGCAGCCAAGAACCCTTCGCCCGCCGGTCTAAATTACTGGTAGGGCCATGCAGCCAAACTCCCCTCGGGCTTGTCTCCCCCGTATCGGTAATTTAGACCGGCGGGCGAAGGGCTCTTGGCGGCCGAAGGGAAAGGGTTAGCGGCCCGATACTAGTCTGGCATCCAGGTTTGCCATCACTCCACTCAAGGCAGGTTTTAGTTTCTCTAGTGAATACCTTGTTTTATTTCATCCTCAGGCCGTGACTAGGAATTTATGTCGTACTGACATAAAACATACTTAGCATGAAATTTCATCCGTGATTGTATACTTCATTATCACAAAAAAGGACTAAACGTTCTTGCCAACACTGAACAGAGACGGGGGGCGACACAGGTTATCTGGTACGCACGACCCTCTGCTGCTATTACGTGTTTCCGACGTCACGTCCCGGAAGCTGCAGTAGAAGGGTCCATTCCGTGAACAAGGCTGACGGAGTCGGCCGAAAATTTGGGTAAGTCCCAATTTACTCAGTGTTGGCAAGAACGTTTAGTCCTTTTTTGTCATAATAAAACATACTTAATTCCAGAGCCATTAACAGATCTTTAACCGTTGTTCCGTATCAATCAGTATTTCGTAATGTTTGCATCTGGCCCTATGTTGAACTATATGGGGAATAAAAGATGGATTACTTTCAAAGTTATTATGTCTTTAAGACCATCTTATGATCTCCTTACGCCCACGGACATATGTAGGTGCACACAGGGATATCTATCATAAAGAATCTTTCTTATCAAGGGAGTTGTAGTTAAGCTAGCGACAAGGTCACAAAACCTAGACGCATAGTTTTGTCGTCTGCCTTTAGAAATTGCCATACGGGACTTTATTAGTAAGTAAGGCCACACCGACTTGACTTTATGGATGACATCCTCTGAAGACCCCCAAACTAGTGCGCGCGGGCGAATAAAAAAAATTCCGGCCAAAAATAAAAATGTTACTAAACCACAGGAATACAAAGCTGGTATTGTGAATTTCCAGCAGTACATAGCGACGTATACGACAAGCCGGCACATGCTGGCTTTTTGCGGAATTTATGAATCGACACTGTACGTATGTATTGAGTTCTTGAGTCGTGGAGCTTTGGTGCCATCGGTGCCATCCTCCAGAGTTACCATCGGCTCCGTATTGTCCCTAACTACCATGGATTACCCAGGCCTAGAGCCAGGCCAGACGTGATTTAAAAAAAACAGTCGAAAATCAATGCGCGCGTGGATGTCATCCATAAAATTAAGTCGGTGTGGCCTAAGTAAAATACATCATTCACGGTGTAGATTCTCTTGATACTTACATGGCGGAACCACACATTGACAGTCAGCATCTGGTCTCTGGCAATCTGTTTGGTAAGTAGATACAGTTAATGAACACGATATCTCAGGTATTTCATTGCCTAAAGTCACATCTGCTAAAACCCTAAGGTATATATACTAAAATCATATTTACAATAGATATTAATATTCTACACACGCTGTGATATAAACCTATAACAATAATGTATCTACAAAGCATAAATTATTCTAGTGCAGCTGATGTACTGAGGACAGTCAATTCGTTTTGTTGCTATATTTCATCGCGTACTGGTAATATAATATACAGCCACAAAAAGAGTGCAGAAAAGAAACAACTTGTAAATGATATCTGTTTTCTAAGAGCACACACAAAAGTAACTGCAAATATTTATGAACTTATAGACATTTTTATATGTTAAATACAAAAGGGATAAGATTGGAGTAGCTCCTTAAATTACTACGTTATTTACATTATGCACTATTCTGGTGTACCTGACTAATGCGCATCTAGCTATATCTAATTTGTGCCCATATTCCTGCTTTGTATTGTTTGTTTATGTACATTTTGTGTTATTTTTATGTAGTATTATACATTTGTTAATTATTTTCTGTTCGATGGCGCTTATATAAGTGTAATTAACTTGAGTGCGTCGCCATCACAGTCTTTTATTTTCCATTATGTACTTTTTGATTACTATTATTTTCGCAGGCTTGTATTTTCTTTTATTTGCATTTTAATTATTATTATTATTTTCGCAGGCTTGTATTTTCTTTTATGTGCTTTTTAATTATTATTATTTTCTTTTATGCGCTTTTTAATCATTAAAATAATTAAAAAAGGTTATAATTTAAAAGGTTATAACGTTTTACTCACCACTTCAATGATCTGTGCTAACACCAGCTCGAACCTAACGGTGACATTCTGCATCGGGTCCTTCACGGGCCGGGCGTCGGACGTGTAGTTCACCAGCAGGGCGTCAAGCAGGGTCCGCTCTGTCGCCGCCGTGAGAACTGGGGACAGAAGGGGTTTATATTAGCCTCCGTAGCAGGCGTATATAACTGGGGGTTTGGAGGTCTTTTTGGCTGTTTTCTGATTAGCCCAGTTCTAAAAAACGGGTGTAATTCAACCAGACCGGCTATGTTGGCTATATGCAATCAGAAAATAGCACATAAAAGCGCCCAAAGACCATGAAGAGAAGAGTGACAGAAATAGGGGAAAAGAGAAAGAGAGAGGGAGTGAGAGAGAAAGAGGGAGGAGAGGGGGAAGAAGGAAAGAGAGAGGGGGTGAGGGGAAGAGGAAGTGAGTGAGAGGATAGGGGAAGAGAAAGGGGAAGAGAGGGAAAGAGAGGGGAAGAGAGGGGAAGAGAGGGAAAGAAAGGGGGAAGAGAGGGAGAGGGGAGGGTGAGAGAGAAGGAAAAAGAGGGGAAGAGAGAGAGGGGGAAAGAGAGGGAGAAAGAGAGAGGGAAAGAGGGAGGGAAGAGAGAGAGATCATGATCTAAATCGTGTAATAGTGATGGTAGAAATGGCCCCAAGACAATTACTATTTTGGTCGATATAAGCAATGGCTATTAGTAAACCTGTTTACGTTGCACTCAAGTTCACCTGTCAAACTATTAGCACTTATGTTTTGCTGGTTGCCAGTCGAGACCTATTTTTATCCTACCAAACCCTACAAGAATTCCGCAGTTGTCAAATTCAAATAAACGGAATGGTGACGAATTTCCTCTTAAGTCTTTTTCAAAGAAACAAACAAATTCTTGTGTGAGATCTTTGGTATGCCCACCGGCACTGGAATATATTGATTCCCATACCAAAGCATGCCGGCCTATTACTGGCTCATACATACGGTTCTAGATGTACCAGAATATGGCTCAGAAGTCAACATTATAACCTTGAATGATTAGTCGAGGGAATAGAGGCCAGAAAATTGCCAATTTATTGAGATGATTGGTGACAATAGGGGTATGAAGGCACACATGGACTGAATCTGAAATTTGTACTTCTTCTTCCGGTGTAATCCCACATTCGTTACGACGAATATTTTGGCTTCTTGGGAGAGAGCGCGTTTTGCGCAGGAGTCTGTGCAATCATGTAATACTGACTTTAAGGATTGTCCATAAATCGTCGTCCATTGTCCATGCCGAGTCGTCACCAAGAAGGCTGTAAAGGTAGGTCTAAGACTGCTCTGCGGCCGCTCGCGACACAAACGCCTCCACTGTCGCGGCCTCTACAGTCTCCTTCTGCAGGTGATTCCAATCCCTGATTGACCTAGGTAGAAACGAGCCCCCCCTATACTGTGTCCTAGTACTGACGAGCTTGAACTGTTGGTTATGGGAGCGTCGTTGTCTTGGTGGGGGTGGAATAAGCTTTGCAGCAATGGTAGGACACTGCACTACCCCATGGTGGATCTTGTACAATATGCCTACCCGTGCAAGCCTCCTTCTATCTTCCAGCGATTTCCAGCCAAGTCTTGTGAGCATGTTCGTAACACTGGAAGTGTTATGGTAGCTATGTAGCACGAAGCGTGCTGCACGTCGCTGTATGGCTTCCAGCTTACTTATGTTTTTCTGGGTGTATGGGTCCCACACAGTTGCCGCATATTCCAACAGCGGTCTTACAAATGTTTTGTAGGCCCTCTCTTTGATCTTAATGGCACTAATCTTTAAATTCCTCCTCAAAAAGCCTAGTACTTGGTTTGCTTTGGTTACTATGTTATTTATGTGATTATCCCAGCTCCCATCACTACTCATCGTGATACCCAGGTACTTTGCTTTATGTACCTTTTCTAAAGTGTGACCATGTAAGACATATGAATACAACAACGGTTTCCTACTTCTGGTGACCGGCATGTAAACACACTTCTCAGGATGGAACGTCATGTCCCATTTGTTTTCCCACTGCTCCAGACTTTGTAGGTCTTGTTGTAACGAGTCTTGCTGAACAGGGAACACTACTACTTTATACACCGCTGTATCGTCGGCAAAAAGCCTAGCACGTGCATTCAAATTATTAGGAAGATCATTAATGTATGCTAAGAAGAGGCACGGTCCTAGGACCGAGCCTTGTGGGACTCCTGTTAAAACCCTGACGAAGGATGAGTTGTGACCATCCACCACTACCGCCTGTCGGCGGTCTGACAAGAAGTTGTTGATCCACGCTAGGGTGGAGTCTCCTACTCCATAACGATGTAGTTTGTGTACTAGCAGACTATGGTTTACTCTATCGAATGCTTTAGCAAAATCCATGATCAACGCATGTACAACGCATAACATAGAAATGGTGGTATCATTTAGCCTCCACCAAGTCTTTCTACGGGAATACGGATCGTAGAATTCGGCAAAAAAAGAGAGTAAAATTGGCCAAGGCAGTCCGGCCGCGGGGAGGTAGTTTCTTTCCCTCTGAAGGCCAGTCAAACCTACAAGGCGGCCAAACTCCCCTGGCAAATATTCTCCTATATATAGCCAGCGTAGTCTGGTAGAGACTAGGTATCATTCACGTTCTACACATTTCCCCAATCTGCACTTTCCTATAGCCAGTTATTTGTAAACCTGAATTTCTAACTGAGATATGTAGTATAACTGCAAATTAGAACAAATCATTTAGTACTTACATTGTTTCATTATTATTGTGATTTATGATTTTTAATTCCTTTGTTACGTTTAATTATTATTATTTTATTTTACATTATTTTCTTGTATCATGTTTCCATGGGCTCCCTTGGAAATCAGCCTCAATGGCTGAAGGGATCACCCATTTTTTTGTAAGATTGATAAATAAATAAATAAATTGTTAATGGCTTTATTCAAAATGAGCGAATTCGAATTGATAATTATCGACGTAAAATCGCACAGCAGACCATTTTTACCGTCTATTGTAATACAACTATCACGTATCAAGTCTAGTTGGCCTCCATAGCATGCCAAAAACTGGGGGTTTTGGGGGGTCTTCAGGGTCTTTGGGAGCTTTTATGTGCTATTTTTTGATTGCATATAGACGACATAGCCGGCCTGGTTGAATTACCCCCGTTTTTTAGAACTGGGCTGATTAGAAAACAGCCGAAGACCACCAAATCCCCATGAAAAGAAACATACAGTGGGTGTCACTGGAAGACAGAAGAAAAATGTCCAGACTATGCATGATGTACAAAATGACTAATAAACTGATGGACGTCCCAACTACTAAGTACCTAATACTAGCCCAGAAGAGAACAAGAAATAGCCACGCATTCAAGTACCAGAGTTATCAACGAAGGATTGAGGTGTTCAAGAATTCATTCTTTCCTAGAACTATCGCAGAGTGGAACTCGCTGTCACCAAGTACAGTAGGGGCTTTATCATTAGATAGCTTTAAACAATGTCTAGAGTTAGATGTTCAAGGGTTAGGTGTAACAAGTCGATCGGTGTAATGTAGCCAGCTGCCGCCGCGTCGCGTGCCTGCGAAGCTGGTGTGTTACGCCAAGGGCGGTTATACCGGCTATACAGATACAGATAGATAAAGCTCTTACCGCATGAATGGTGGATAAGAAGACAGCAAAGAAAAATGGCGGCAGCCATGTCGACGCTACAGCTCCGGTAGACTTGTGGCCCTCAGTACGCCGCTAGACGCTCACTGTAAAACAACATATACCGGTCCGTGAACAGTTTCATCAGGTTGGTAAGACACTGAGTAAAGAGACTCTTTTTACACAACCAAGTGTTTTATTCAGCTGACGTTTCGGTGACCGTCTGTCACCTTCCTCAGGGCAAGGACTGGTTCATCTATAGCAGCGACACCTGTGCTGCAGTGCAATGTGAACCAGTCAGAACTGCCCTGAGGAAGGTGACAGACGGTCACTGAAATATGGGCTGAATAAAAGACTTGGTTGTGTAAAAAGAGTTTCTTTACTCAACACATACCGGTGTCAAGCCAAATACATGATCCTGCCAAACACTACTACATCACTCTGACACTACTTGGGGGTTTCCAATATACCTGAGACAAGGGGTGGGAGGGGGTTGGTCGTGATGTGGGAGACTAAACCTAAGCATACCCTAATCGTAAGTCTAACCCTAACTCTAATACCAACCCTGACCCTAGCCCTAGCCCTAGCCCTAGCCCTAGCCCTAGCCCTAGCCCTAGCCCTAGCCCTAGCCCTAGCCTTAGCCCTAGCCCTAGCCTTAGCCCTAGCCCTAGCCCTAGCCCTAGCCTTAGCCTTAGCCCTAGCCCTAGCCCTAGCCCTAACCCTAACCCTAGCCCTAAATACCTGACCTCTCACGTATGTAGCAGCAGTAAGATTTGGCTCCACACCACGGCACGGTTACATTGTATGTTTATATAGCCGGATCTAGACCGGTAACGTTAGGCCACAGCAAGTAATTTTTATGGATGACATCAGCGCGCGCATTAATTTTCGCTTGATCTTTTTTTTTGCCTTCTGACAGTGGTCAACATGCCGAAAATGGGCAAAGATGTCTGTTGCCATGCCGGAACGTGGATGGCAGATAACTATGAAGAGAGGAGAGCAAGAAAAGGCTCTGATTTAATGTTTTGTTTCTTACTTTGATGCAGTGATATGTGATGTTGGCTGTGTATATGTGATGTTCCCATTGAATCAAAACCATTTGTACAATGATTGAGTCAAAATTTTAAAATGTAGGAACCTTGTTTTTTCGGCCCGCCTTGTTTTTTTTCGCCCGCTCGCATTAGATTTGGAGTCTGCGGAGGATGTCATTTACTTGCTGTGGCCTAAAGAGGAAATATGCAATTCGTACTGCTTAGGCCACACCGAATTAATTTTATGGATGGCATCCGCACACGCGCTGATTTTTGCCTGTTCTAAAAAAAAGATCACGTCGTCCGAGGTTCTGGACTGGCTCTAGGCCTGGGTAGTCCATGGTAGTTTAGCGACAATACGGAACTGGTTGTAACTCTGGAGGATGGCACCCAGGCTACAGGACCAGATTCATAAATTCCGCAAACAGTAAGCATGTACCGGCTTGTCGTATACGTATACGTCGCTATGTAATGACGCAAATTCACAATACCAACTGTGTATTCCTGTGGTTTAGTAGTATTTTTATTTTTGGTCGGAATTTTTTTATTCGTCCGCGCGCACTAGTTTGGGGGTCTTCAGAGGATGTCATCCATAAAATTAAGTGGGTGTGGCCTAATACGTACATGCTTGTTTTCTAAGGTACGCTTGACAGAGAAGTTATACAAACAAGAAAAGAGAGACCGGTCAAGCGTTGACTTGTTAAAGGTTGGAAGGCAACGGTCATTCAAAATAGACGTTGATGAATTGATGACTAAATGTTCAGTAAATAACCTGTATAATTTGTCTTCCTAAAATAACTTCCACACCGAGTATCATATATCCTGAATACAACTAGAGCTACTAACAAGAGTACCTTACAATTTCATGAATTTAGAATCCAAATTCCTTGTTCGAAATCTTTTTACAGTGACAGTTTCTTTCCCCGTGCGGCCAAGCTTTGGAATTCTCTCCCTGACAAGTGTTTCCCACCAACCTACAATCTACAGGCTTTCAACTCAAACGTTCACCGCCATCTCTTGACATTGCCTTGTTTCTCTCATATTTCTAGTTCAATGCCGAGAAGTGGTCGTATAGGCCTTGCATTGAACCACTCCGTTAAAAAAAATTAATTGAATTGAATATGCTCATTACACCAAGAAATTTCACAATGAGAAAACGAATGGAATACAATATAAACATGTAACTAAAATTATCAAAACAAGTCGATCCAACTATTTGAATAGAGTAGAAAGAGTAGAAAACAATGGTCCTTTCTTACATAAACGTTAACAAAAAGGTCAAACTATCACAGGTAACTTATACCAATTGTGATCGGCAAAATAAACATGTATAGGAGGTATCATGATGTTATCAATGACACCATTTTCATTCTAGCGGTCATTTTCTTTGTGTTCGATCTGAACTCTGTTCTCGAATGCAATTCTGTTCACTAGAAAATCTTGAATGTCGGACGCTTCGGCCCATGGACACTTCGGCCTGGACGTTTCGGCCACATGTGCTGGACATTTCGGCCACATGTGCTGGACGTATCTTATCCTTGTAGCTTGATTTTTTTAATTCCAACATTTCATACTTAGACATGGCGACAGTACACTCAAGTTATATCAACTTATTTTATGCCGCCACCAACGCATAGGACAAATGCAGGACAAGACAATACTCATTTTCACCTGAGTTAAGTGAGGAAAGCCGTTTTAAAGTGCCTTTCCAAAGGGCACAAGATCGGTGGCATGTCAGGACTCGAACCCGGGACCGCTTGGTTCCGAGTTGAGCACTCTGACGCTACGCCACACGATCCCACAATAGAACTAGATTGGCACCACGGTTCTATATGTGATAACTTCCTATATTTAACATGGTGACATATGGATACAAGCAACTGACCATAATTTGCAAAGAAAGAAAAAAACATGTGTTCGCCAACACTCAAACATCGTCATTCCTACGCTTGACTTATAACTACTGTTTAAACTACAGTGATCTATGACTCGTCAACTACGCACTACGTAAAGCAAGCTTTAGGCCATGTTGATTTGATTATATGGATGACATCCTCCGGGAACCCCAAAATTGATGCGCGCGTGCGAATAAAAAAAAAGTTTTGCAAAAAAAAAGTTGTTTTCATTATGAAATCTACGTGGTCATGAGGGTTGAACAAATGGGACAGAATATGGTTTGGCGAATAATCTAGTCTTCAAGTTCATTTCTTTACAATTTCGTCTTTTTTCGTTTGATTTTGGCATTCTACGACATTGGTATGGTTTTTTTGTAACTTACGGTATATTTTTGCTCATTTTGCAACTGTTTTGTACGATTTACAGTATGGTTGAAAACTTTTTTTTTGAAACGGCCGAAAATTCATGCGCGCGCGGATGTCATCCATATAATCAAATCAACATGGCCTTACCTGTATGTACCATGCACGACTTCTTGGTAAAATGCTTAATAATAGTCCTTTTGAGGAACTAAGGCCATAGTAAGTAAATTTTATAGATGACATCCTCCGCAGACTCCAAATCTAATGCGAGCGACCGAAAAAAAACAAAGCGGGCCGAAAAAAAACAAGGTTCCTACAATTTAAAATTTTGACTCAATCATTGTACAAATGGTTTTGATTCAGTGGGAACATCACATATACACAGCCAGCATCACATATCACTGCATCAAAGTAAGAAACAAAACATTAAATCAGAGCTTTTTCTTGTCTCCTTTCTTCATAGTTATCTGCCATCCACCTTCCGGCATGGCAACAGTCATCTTTGTCCATTTTCGGCATGGTGACCACTGTCAGAAGGCAACAAAATTTCTTGTTTTTTTTATATACAGAATCAGGCGAAAATTAATGCGCGCGCTGATGTCATCCATAAAAATTACTTGCTGTGGCCTTACGTACCACGCACGACTTCTTGGTAAAATGCTTATAGTCAGAACCAAGTCCTTTTGAGGAACTAGGTTTCACCACAGTTTCACCACAGGAAGTGGGTAGAGGAGTGGCCGAAAGTCGTGACTAATGTGAGTTCACGTATTGTTAGAGTGATAATGAGTTGACGAGTCCATGTTATTTGATTATACTCGGTCTGTGTCACAAGTATAGGGCGTAGTAAGCATTAACCAAGCAAAAGGCATCCAATGCGATTTCAGGGCAGCAAAACTGGAAATATTCTGAATAAGGCTATCTTTGTGATATTGACACATACTATTCCACATTGGCACTTTTGAATCAGTATTTCATACTTTGGGCTTTTAAAACTGCACAAACAAGCCCCAAGATGAGTCCTTTATTTTCTGGGTGGTACCCTAAAATCAGCCCAAGGCCCTTCCAGTAACCATTTTCCGTCAGGATGTTGGGAATTTTTGCTCCTTGAGGGTCAATACACATCGGGATAGTGTGGTTTCAACTTAGTATGTAGATAAATTACTAGAATATTGGCGTTGAAAAATCGTGTTTCCACGCCCTAAAAACTGCATTGGATGCCGTTAATACAGCTCTAGTTAGGAAAACAGGTTCACAGTATAACTCTAAATTGAGTCTAAAACGAGAGGTGTAATCTGAAGACTACCGGCCGGTACCATTCCGTACCGGTTTGTAATCTTTCACTACATACTTCCTTTTCCTGTCACGTCAAGCGAGCCATGTGGACATTTGGAGTAAACTGTCAGTGTATGTGTGTCAGTAGTGTATGTGGGTATGTGTGCATATGTCTTTGGTGTTTTTCTGAACATGTGTCTGTCTGTTTGTGTATACATGTATACATGTTGTTTCTGTTTGTTTATTTGTTCGTTTGAATGTGTGTGTGTGTGTGTGTGTGTGTGTGTGTGTGTGTGTGTGTGTGTGTGTGTGTGTGTGTGTGTGTGTGTGTGTGTGTGTGTGTGTGTGTGTGTGTGTGTGTGTGTGTGTGTGTGTGTGTGTGTGTGTGTGTGTGTTTGTCACTGTGTGTGTGTGTGTGTGTGTGTCAAGGGCGCAAAATGTATCGCAAATAACACAGTAATTCAGAGAAGTCGGTCGAAACAAGGAAATACTAACTTACGCGGCACAGCACCCCTTTCTCAAGAACAACGGTCTGTCCCTATGTACTTCGGCCTGCTGCCAACCCAAAATCCCTTTCTTAAACTCCAAGGTGGTCTTTGCTAATTCCATTTTCAGGTACTCGACTTTTCAACATACTTAAGTACTGACTTCGTTTTCTTTCAGTCCTGCTACGTAGCCAAAAAAGAATGTGTAGTCATAATAACAAGATTTTCGACCACGACTAAAGGCATCCAATGCGATTTTAGGGTAGCAAAATTGGAAATATTCTGAATAAGGCAATCTTTATGATATTGTCACATACTGCTACACATTAGCACATTTAAATCAGCATTTAATACTTTGGGCATTTAAAACTGCAGAAACAAGCCCCAAGATGAGTCCTTTATTTTCTGGGTGGTACCCTAAAAATCAACCCAAGGCCCTTCCAGTAACCATTTTCCGTCAGAATTTTGGAATATTTTGCTCCATGAGGGTCAACATATATTGAGATAGTGTGGTTTCAACTCAGTATGTAGATAAATGACTAGGATATTGACTTTTAAAAAAAATCGGGTTTCCAAGCCCTAAAAACTGCACTGGGTGCCTTTAAGAGGAAGTTAGCCTCGTTATTAGACATTTTTGAGGGCCTTCGTGTCCAAGCTAAACAGGTCTTAGTGAACTGTATGTGTGACGTTGACAATCTGTTTACACATAATACGCCCCTATTGACGCCTGTGTTGCCAAAACATGTAGTCTAAATCTGAGGTTACCGAAATAGCCAAGTCATTCTTGTGTGGAAAAATATAGTCACCTATACAATCATACGAACATTTAATACATAAATGCAACTGAAATATTGTAAATGCTTCGTAAATTTTGTAAAATTTGTCATTTTTGCTGTTGTTGGGAAAGCATAGAGGGGGTTGGAAACTCAATACTTTCTTGACTGACAGGCTTAATTTATATCAACATTTATTTGATATCTAATCCCTAGTCGTTTACTGATTGTTTTGCTGTACCGTCATACTATAGCTACAAGCCATAGTCTTCGTAGTTTTTCATCAACTATCACTGTTTCCCTTGTACTAAAACATATTCAGTTATAACATTATTATAACTTTATCTACCACGGGTAGTGACAGGCACATCGTTTCTATAGGGAACAATACCTCCATTTTTTACGGAGGTAATGATCACATTTGGAACCCGTACACACCGTTTTCAGGTGAGAAAATAGAAAGAAGAAGTCAAACATACCTTCTAATTCTTGTTTCCTTGTCACCCTCTTGAACCGAAGAACACCCACTGCTAAAATGTGCTGTATAACAGTACACGGAACCATAGACTTTCTATACTGATTAATCAAATTTGGAACCCGTACACACCGTTTCCAGGTAAGAAAATAGAAAGAGAAGAACGTCACACTAACCTCCTATTTCTTGTTTCCTTGTCACCCCCTTGAGCCGAAGAACACACTGCTAAAACGTGCTATAACAGTACGTGGAACCATAGACTTTCTATACTGAATAATCAAATTTGGAACCCGTACATACCGTTTTCAGGTGAGAAAATAGAAAGAGAAGAACGTCAAACATACCTTTAACTTCTTGTTTGCTTGTCACCCTCTTGAACCGAAGAACACACTGCTAAAACGTGCTGTATAACAGTACACGGTACCATAGACTTTTTATACTGAATAATCATATTTGGAACCCGCACACACTGTTTTCAGGTGAGAAAATAGAAAGAGAAGAACGTCAAACATACCTTCTACTTCTTGTTTCCTTGTCACCCCCTTGAAGACACACTGCCAAACGTGCTATAACAGTACGGTAGTGAAGACAGAGGTTTCCGCTAGTTACATGTACCAAGAACTGTTGTAGTGATCTGTGTGACAGCGCTCACCTTCTACTTCTTGTTTCCCTGTCACCCTCTTGAACCGAAGAACACACTGCTAAAACGTGCTATAACAGTACGGTAGTGAAGACAGAGGCTTCCGTTAGGTACCTAGGACTGTTGAAGAAATCTGTGCCAACGCTGCTTCCTGTTGCCCTCCTGTCTCTGTGCGATGTATCTGAGCCAAGGCGATAAGAACAAACGTGTTCCTACATGCAATCGGACGTGTACCGTGGGCGGATATGGACTTCCGTTGGCGAATCGAGCCTGGGTAGTACCAAACCCTGCTTGGCGGTAATTTTTCGGCCTCTTACCGAGCACAGGCGAGTTGTGCCACGGACCTATCTCCAGCTGGTTTCCCTCAGTATCCGCTGACTTCCTGTATTACGCTCAGTCTTCTGTTGCCAGCGCGGTAATTGAGGCCTGATTGGCGGCTCGAAACGCTCTCGGCGCCGGAGGGATAGCACTGAGCTCACGGCGGTACTTGCTACCAGGCTAGGCGAATCTAGCACAAGAGTGGGCCGTGGCTTGAAACCACGTTCGCTCGCTCGATCGAGCTGCTTTTTTTCTGCCAGACGGTGCCGTATTACGTGACCTATTGTTCTATACACAAGGGTTGTGCCTGTAACCAATGGAGGCGAGGTTCTCAACTGTTTAAAGTCAACAGAGGGGCGGGAATGTACGTACCAAAAGACGGAGTGGAACGGCTGCCCTTTTTACCTCCATGAAAAATGGAGGTATTGTTTTGGGCATGTTTGTGTGTGTGCCTGTCTGCCTGTCTGTGTTTCCGCACATTTGTAGACAGCATAACTTTTGAACCTTTGGATGGATTGTGATGATATTTGGTATGTGGGTAGGTGTTGGGTAGGCAAAGGTCAAGGTCAATTTTGGGCCTCCTGGTGGCTGACCTTGGTACTGCAGTAAAACTTTTTTCGTATCTTTTGTCCTGGACATGCTATGGTCTTGATTTTGAGTGGCTGCCCCCTTTTTTGTCTGGATACTTCTTTCGTGGCGCATTCTTTTGATCAACTTGATTTATTTGAATGCCAATCTTTGGGAAAAATTTACAGTAATGATATGGCGCCTGGTTTCTTGCGTACGTTAATTTTTAAGAGGGTTTTTAAGTTTTTTATCCCCCAAAACGTCCTTAATATTCTTATGCTAGATTGTACGTTTCTACAATAAAGGCAAAATTTTTCTACTTTTACAGAAATATCAGTAAAAGGATTGACGTTGTCCTAATATCTTGTAAGGCATAAATGACACAAAACACGCTTACGAGAAAATAAAAGGTAAAAACGATACTGTTTTGTCAGGGTTTGTCGTCTAGATCTCATTTTGCGTTTGACACACATCTCAGAGACGATCCCTACATGTTCACACGTAGACATGACCATACACCTGATCAGAGAGGCGGAGAAACAACAAAGGCTGTTTAATGTTCCCGGTCAACGGTTAAGAACATACAGCAAATATTTGCTTTTAGGCTCACTTTAGACTAGAAACGCTTAAAGGGTTTCGGGGTAGAAAAAACGTTTCCGATGGGCTAACCGTTTCCAGTCTAAAGACGAAAAACGGTATTTTAGGGGGTTTTACGAAACGATTTCGCAACCACATCCATCGTGGTTTTAAAACCCTGAAACCCTTCCTGTTTCATGTTCCCGGTCAACGGTTGAGAATATATAGCAAATATTTGCTTAGCGAGCTATACAGGCCTTTCCAATGTGTGTGTATGGTGTTATACTTCCCTGTATAGCAATCATGCCCCCCTCCCCCACTACTCAAACTAATTCTCATGTAAGGTGAAGCTGATGCCTTTATGTCTAACTACTAAGAGTTCATCGGGACTTTTTTTATTCACAATTCAACATGTATTATACACATGGTGGTGAGGTACTCTAGGCAGTGTAACAGAAAATGTATGTCTTTTGTGGTGTATGGTGTTATACTTTCATGTAAAGCAGTCACACACACACCCCCACAACTCAAACTAATTTTCATGTAAGGTGAAGCTGATGCCTTTAGGTCTAACTACTAAGAGTTCATCGGGACTTTTTTTATTCACAATTCAACATGTATAATACAGGACATGGTGGTGAGGTACTCTAGGCAGTGTAACAGAAAATGTATGTCTTTTGTGGTGTATGGTGTTATACTTTCATGTAAAGCAGTCACACACCCCTCCCCCACAACTCAAACTAATTCTCATGTAAGGTGAAGCTGGTGCCTTTAGGTCTAACTACTAGGAGTTCATCGGGACGTAACTCACGTTTTAAGCCAAGCACACCAACACCGTCACCTCCACTCTTCTAGATAAGTGTTTTGGCTTCTTTACGTGAAGAGGTTTCTTACAGGACGCTCCCCTAGCACAGGTGCCCTCGCTTTAAGGTCACCAACCGAAAGAACGAATTTCTCATGCTGACCCGAATTTGATTTAAATAACAATTGGACACCTAGATTCGTTATTTAACTGATTAACAAGAAATGATTAACACTTATTCCTGACAGGAAGAGCTAGCTGTCACCAAAAATCCAAGACCATAGCATGTTCAGGACAAAAGATATAAAAAACCGAAAGTTCTGCTGCAGTACCAAGGTCAGTCACCAGGAGGCCAATATTTGACCTTTGTCTTCCTAAGACCTACCCAAGTACCAAATATCATCACAATCCATAAAGGCGTTCTGAAGTTATGCTGACTACAAATGTGCGGAAACACACACACAGACACACACACAGAAACACAGGCAGACACACACACAGACACACCTAAAACAATACTTCCATTTTTCATGCAAAAATCCAACGAGTCTCTCTGTGTCTGTACCTGTATAGCCGGTATAATTACCCCTCGGCGTAACACATCAGCTTGCTCGAAAGGAAATCGAATTTAAGGCACGAAACTGGTCCGTGGCACAGTCATATCAACACTAACGCTACATTCTTGATTAAACTACAGGTGTTAAAATAAGATGTACGATTCAGCAATGATTGAAGAACATGTGTAGCATGCAAAAATGAGGCCAGGAGGTCCTAGCTACCTAATCTCTTTGGGATATTTAGGGATAAACGTTACAAACTCCACTGATTTGTGAGGGCCTGCATGGGGTGCTAGTGATTACGAATTACGAAAAATTTTCGCCGCCGATTACGAATTACGTTAAAGTCTCAGAGCTGATTACGACTTTACGCTTTGTGGCTAATGTACTATATTACGAATTACGTTGATTTTGGGGGAGGCTGCCTACGGATCATTACGAAGATTAAAAAGGCCTGATTACGCCTTACGAAAAAGGGCATGCAGGCCCTCATTTGTGTCAAGCATTGAACCCAACTTCAGTACATAACGGTTCATAGAGAATTATTCATTGGTTTTCCCCTGTGTGAATTTTGGCAAAGACTTCATTCCCATGGCAGTACAACTGTATAATTACATAAAAAATACAGTGTGTGTACAGCAGTATAACTGTAGAATTACACATTCCCACTACGATAAAATTGTCCGGATCGAGTCGAATCGATTTGGTTTGATCCGGCTTCGATCCGGCTCCGATCAGGCTCGAAGTACGATTGAAGCCAGATCAAACCGAATTAATTCGGTTTGATCCGGAAAATTTTATTCTAATGGCAAATGGGCCTATATCTACATGCCTCACACCATATACGTCGGTTCAAACGTCTTTAGATGAAACTAAAGACACGATATGATCAGCATCTTGTAAATGGGTCTATTTAATAAAAGTAAACTTGAAATTGAGTCATAAAAGGTCTAGAAACATCTGGTATCTCTATCAATGGGTCTAGACTAATTGCATTTAACAGCTAAATCGGTTGCTAAGCTTTTCCAGGCACATTACTTGAAGCATTTTCACTTACACATCGACAGAAGAAAAATGTCCAGACTATGCATGATGTGCAAAATGACTAATAAACTGCTGGGCGTCCCAACTACTAAGTACCTAATACCAACCCAGAATAGAACAAGAAATAGCTATGCCTTCAAGTACCAGAGTTATCAACCAAGGATTGAGGTGTTGAAGAATTCATTCTTTCCTAGAACTATTGCAGAGTGGAACTTGCTGTCACCAAGTACAGTATGGACATTATCATTAGATAGCTTTAAACAATGTCTAGAGTTAGATGTTCAAGGCTAGGTGTAACATACGTACAAGTCGATCGGTGTAATATAGCCAGCTGCCGCCGCGCCGCGCCGCGTGCCTGCGAAGCTGGTGTGTTTCGCTGAAAGGCGGTTATACCAGCTACACAGATACAGATACAGAAGAACAAATGAAATGTTGTAAATTAACGGTTAAACCAACCACACTCCGATGTTCAGTCATTGAATTATTTTATTTTAACACTTTGCAATATTTTAGGTTATCTGTGGAAGTGAGTTTGGTGATTTTATAATGTACATTTAAAGAATGTTTCAATCATAGAGACTACATGTTAGAGAATAGTTAAACCTTTATTGTTATCACTTATATATATTCTGTACGTAATTTGCCACATACATATATTCTGTACGTAGGATGAAGTTATCCATGTATTTAACTTTGTTAGAGCTTTAGTTTTAGAAGACCATACAAAAGTCCCTGTACTTTTTGTTGTGTCAATAAAGAATCTTCATGAAACGTATTTCAGCCAGACTGCTGCAATGTTTTACAGAAATAAACTATTCATTCATTCTTGGGATAGTCGTACCTCTGTACAGGCCATGCAAAATTCATCTGTCTTGTTACGAAAAACGCTGCCCCGTTAGATCATTGTTGACGTTTGGTTCTGTCTCGAACCGATTGGAAATTTCATGGCCCCAAACTCGTATGACTATCCTCAAGATGTATCTGACCTGGCCCTAAGCTACGTGTACGTACCGTGACCCTAAGTCTTAAGTGTATTGGGACCTGTCTTACAATAAGCCCGTATCCTGGATGTCAGATTATCCATGATATACCGGCAATAACGACCTTCCTGGCTACTCCATCAACTTGTAATCATATAAGACGTTGAGAAATTGTCAGGCGAGAGGTTATAAATCATATATAATGGTCGTGCCTCACTTGGAGATTTAGATCAGCTAGTACCAATCACACACACCCGCAGTACCGATCTTCTTACAAACCTCTGCTGAATCCATTAGACCACAGCAAGTAAATTTTATGGATGACATCCTCAGCAGACAAAAACAAGGCGGGACTAAAAAAAACAAGATTCTTACATTTTCAAATTTTGACATCATAATCCTTGTTAAACAAGAAATGATAACTATATTAACGTTTACTGCCAACTATTACAACACCTATTTGTCATTGAAACAAAATAAAAGTTTTTAATTCTTGTACAAATGGTTCTGATTAAGTAGGAACATCACATATAAAAGGAATGAAATACACCTCTACATTAGAGTAAAAGACAAAACTATAAACCAGAGTCCTGTCTTGTCTCCTTTCTTAAAAATTATCTGTCATCCATGTTTCGGTATGAAAACAGACATCTTTGCCAATTTTCAGCATGTTGACCACTGTCTAAGGGCAACAAAATTTCTCTTTCTTTTTCAAAATCAGGCGAAAATCAATGCGCGAGCTGATGTCATTCATAAAAATTACTTGCTGTGGCCTTACTGTATAGACAGTGTGTTGCTTGGACCTTTGCCAATGAAGTTTTGCCTCATACACCATACATCATTGGTGCTGGCCATACTTTTCCTGGTGCACTTTCTTCATCTTTGAAACTAAAGCTCAAAGAGGTATAGTTGATCTAAAATAGTGGTTCTACAATAGGATTAAGTTACACAATATTGTTATTAGAGAGTAGTTTTGTTCAGGCAATTCCATTGAGTATTATTTAATCGCACTTCATATTTTATATTTTATATACTATTAGCTGTTCTTTGGCAAGATTTAGTTTCACAATATTGTTATTAGAAATGTTAATAAAAGTGTTCAAGAAATTCCATACGTTAAAGACGATTATTAGTTGACTTTGTAAGTGCGTAGTTTCAGGGGTGCCAGAGTATAGAGTGCAATTTTACGGAATACAGTGCAATTTTACGGAATACAGTGCAATTTTACGGAATACAGTGCAATTTCACTAGTAAATTTACTAGTAAGTTTTACGGAATACACTGCAATTTTACTAGTAAAATTGCACTCTATACTAATACGATTGTACTGTATTCCGTAAAATTGCACTGTATTCCGTAAAATTGCATTGTATACTAATACGATTGTACTGTATTCCGTAAAATTGCACTGTATTCCGTAAAATAGCACTGTATACACTGGCACCCCTGAGTTTGCCACTAGGACAATGAATTATACAGGACACTAGTTTCTCTTATCAACTGTGCAGCACACTTCAACACAGGAAGGGCTCCTAGCTGCAGGGGAAATGTCCGTATCACTTACAATGTTTCCTGTACATGACTTGTGTACAGAACTTTGCGGAGTCATTCTCCGGACCCCTGGACGGAATCCGGAAGTCTTGCAGACATAGGATGTTGTAAGGGTTCAGATAAACATGTGAGCTAGCTAGGGCGAAATCATACTCTCCAAGCAGAGGTTAGTGGGGAAGATTGTGACCTTTCTAATCTGTGCTTTTAATCATATCAAAGAGAAATTCCCATACTTCGAACACCTAAATGCAAACAATAAATTTATATTTTGATGCGTCTAGACAAACCCTGTATCACAAACATGATCTGTTCCCACATTTTCCATTGTACAAAAAAACGAGAAGAAGTTGACCACTCTGTATTGGCTCAGTACCTAGAACACTTTGTATTAGCCTAGTATAGTTCCCTTGTATGTTCCTTATATATGTATGTTTGAGGCAAGTAGTGTATCTTTTGTCTCCACTTTTCTACATACGTTTGTTATGTGTCTGTTAAGTCTTGACCTGTATCTAGTTCGTCGTGGCATGAATGTACAATAAAGTTATTTCATAATCATCATTATTATAGTAATATGCCCCCACATTGGGGGAAGCGACAGAACGGGGCATATGATAGAAAGGTCACAATTTCCCCATCAACATCTGCTTGGAGAGTACGAAAGTCTCCAAGTCTCCTGATAATTCATGGGTGAAACAGGAGAAGGGAAATTGGAGACGTTATGTCTTGCAAAGACTACATGGAATTCTTAAGGAGCAGCATTGTATGTAAATAATTCATAATGCGGGGAAAAGATGAACAGTCATGTATTTGTATATGAATTAATGAAAGGATTGCTACAGTAAATAATAGGCTGAATTATATACTGATGTCAATACATAAAAAAAGACATAAACTCATACACAGAATATCAGATCCTATACTCAATATAACTATAACAGTATATAAAACTGAGGAATCTTTAAAATGTGCGGTAACCGATAATAAAAGAAGCTATAACTCACAATTAGAAATTCAGCTTTGAGAAGCTTTCAAAAAGATCCGCCATCTTTCTTCTGCTCTGAAGGGTAGTCACGTGATTTAGAATAAAAGGTCACAAAGGTCATCTGACTGAACGATGGCTTTGTATATGTACAGAATTCTGTGTAATTGTTAAGCTAGTTCCTCTAAAAACCAGCTATGTAGACAACCTCTGAACCTATTCTGGTCCTGCATTATTCAGTAAGCTAGAAATGGAATCATTATTTGGGAGGACAACTTGTAAAGGTGTCAATGCACCTGTTTTGTCCTCCCTTCCACTTGTATACTTAGTACCTGGTGGTAAACTCAAATAAACAAATAAACAAATTATGGTTCGACTCAGAATATTAACATCCACATAATACTATAATAATGATGAAAGTAATCATGAAAGTTCATCTGTGTTGGTAGTTACGTGTTTAAAGTTAAAACCTTTGGTCCAACACAAAAATTTCTCTCACCTAGAGCTTTCAACCAGTCACTCTGGTCACTGAACAAGACTATTTCCTGAGAGGGGTGAAGGCGGCCATTTACATCAGGGCCCGGCACCACCCTTCACTTAACCGCGACGGGGGCCGACATCGTCTACCAGATACCTTTGACCCAGTGTTGACGTCACACTTCAAAGTGACAAGCCTCACTGGGTCAGTCTATTGAGGAAGACCAGAGTGACAGGTCGAAAGCTCTAGGTGAGAGAACTTTTTGTGTTGGACCAAAAGTTTTAGCTTTAAACAAGCTTTACGTTACATATGTCATAGTGCAACTGACTATTACACATGCAGCAAGAAATATCAGCAGAAAAACTCGGTCCAGTCTAGATGCTACAGTTTTCCACTCGTTCGACACAGCCTCTTTCTTCGTATGCTTGAGTTGATCCTGTTTCCAGGCTTCCAGTTTGTTGACGACTCCATCAAGCTTGGGCAAAAGTTCTTCACTGTTCTCTAACTGTTCACGAAAGTGGCCTTGCTTCCCATTGCCAGAATTGTCTTCAATGTTCATCTGTGAAGGCAACATGGCGAATTCCTCTGCAGATGTGTTACAGTAGTACTCTGCTCTCTGATGTATTTCCCTCTCACTGTATCTGTCAAGTTGATACTGTTTTGCCAGCCTAACACAGCCACAGAACAGACAGTCAAGCCAGCAGGACTTTTCTGTCAACCCCAGTAGCTGTTTGAGCCAGTAGGGCGGCTTGGTGGTTGTGTATGTGAAGTTTAGCGCGATGGTGAGGATGCTCAAAATGGTGGACATGGCGACGACGAGGATGATGATGCCAAAGAAAGTACCTGAAGGATAAAGCAAAAGAAAACGGTTACCCCATCTTTACGTTTGAGCTTTTACTACATGATGATTTCAACTTTGACAATAGCAAATCATAAAGATAATCAGACAGGTAATGCATGTTTCTTAGGTGTAATAATGCATTCATTATTCTATAGATATAATGACTTAGACATGCATGGGGAGCATTCACCAAATGTAAATAACAAGAAACTTTCTTGTCTAAAGTTAAAACGTTAATTGATCCAACACAAAAAGTTCTCTCACCTAGAGCTTTCGGCCAGTCACTCCGATCTTCCTCAGTAGACTGACCCAGTGATACCTTTGACCCAGTGTTGACGTCACACTCCAAAGAATCCACGTGACAAGCCTCACCGGGTCAGTCTACTGAGGAAGACCAGAGTGACTGGTCGAAAGCTCTAGGTGAGAGAACTTTTGGGTTGGATCTAAAGTTTTAACTTTAAACATGTAACTACCAACACAGATGAACTTTCGTGATAGTATAAGGCATTTTTCTCACCTATTAGAGGGATGTAGTTTGACGTTGCCGGCAGAGACACTATGACCATGTGCATGTAGACGATCAGAGACAGCAGCATCGTGATGCTCAGAGACAGTTTCTCACCGGAATCTGGCGGAATGCTGAAGCTCAGCAAGCTGTCAATCAAAATTACAACCGTTAATTAGATTATGGAGTATAATTCAGGTGCTGTTGATCAAATTACTCACAATTGAGATGAGAGGAATGAAATATTATGATGAAAAATACATCTGCGTAACCCATAATGCATCTATGATCCATTGACAAAGACGGAGGACGCCACAGATTACCTGCTATACAGATATCATAGAAGAGTGAATATAGTTAATTTAATAAATGTAAAGGAAGGGTTGGGGCCAATTCATTATGTTTGCGATCATAGCTAACTTTACAGTCAAATCCTTCTTCAAGTTGCAATCGTGTCTTAGAGAGAAATATCTCTGGCAAAAATTTTACTTGAATGCATCTACCTTATTAGAAGAATGACGATGCATGGTGCGAAGATGTGGTAGATGTAGAACAGCGGCTGTCGTTCAATGGCCAGCGTATAAGTGACGTCAACGTACGGTACATCCGAGGGGCTGCAGGGAAACAAGCAAAACCACATCTAAGGATGATCATTGACAACATAATTCATAATCGGTGCTGATCTTAACATACCATACGTTTAGAATAAATTCAATTATTTTTCAACACAAAGGATCGGAGTCACTGAACTTTCGACCGGTCTGTTGGTATTCTTCAGGGTACTTGAGGACATAGTTGCTAAGTAGTAGTAGTAGTAGTAGGCGTAGTAGTAGTAGTAGTAGTAGTAGTAGTAGTAGTAGTAGTAGTAGTAGCAGCAGTAATAGTAATAGTACGGACTCGTAACTTTCCGGGAATTACGGAAATGTGACGTCAGCAATTGGCCAATGGCTGTTGGAAGTCGGTATCGGCCCCCGTCACCGTGTCACACAGAGGTGAACTTTCATATGCCCCATATGTTGCTTAGGAATGGTAACAAAACCCGGTATAATGTAGGCAATACGAAATCCACGCATACCTGTATTTTACTTCGTTCCTCTTAGCCACAAACTTGATCACGTCCCATTCTCCGTTCTTTTTGTACTGGTACAGATCACCTTCTGAATACCTGTGAAAGATTATGTAAATTTACATTAACAGAAGCATTACTTGGATACAAATCATATATTTTTTATGTAACTTTTTTCAGCACTAGATGAAGGGCAACGCACATTGTCTCACAACAGCACATAGAATGACATCTTCTTTTACATGTTATTGTTTATGTTGCCCATTTGCTGATATATTACATGCTGTTTTGTTACTTGTTGTTTTGTTATTATTATTTACCATTGTATGTACTTTTCTTCATCAGTGGTGGGCTAAGATTAGCAACCTGTTAGAGTTACCCACCACTGTGTCCTGTAAGTTTCTATGTTGCTCAATAAAAATATGACATTTAATCAAATTTCAAACTCACATACAATCATGAATGTTCATCTGTGTTGGTAGTTACATGTTTAGAGTTAAAACGTTTGGTACAACACAAAAAAAGGTTCTCTCACCTAGAGCTTTCGACCAGTCACTCTGGTCTTCCTCAGTAGACTGACCCAGTGAAGCTTGTCACGTGGCGTCATTGAAGTGTGACGTCAACACTGGGTCATTGAACCGCGACGGGGGCCGACATCGTCTATCAGATACCTTTGACCCAGTGTTGACGTCACATTTCAAAGAAGCCACGTGACAAGCCTCACTGGGTCAGTCTACTGAGGAAGACCTGAGTGACTGGTCGAAAGCTCTAGGTGAGAGAATTATTTTTGTTGGAACAAAAGTTTTAACTCTGAACATACAAACTCACATGTTGGTGACATCGATGGCATGAGCGTCGTAGGTCCACGACCCAAACTTGAAGGGGCACTTCTGTGTGTCGTAGGGAAAGTCTATGACGTTGATTTTGCACGAAGCCTTGAACGTGAACGGGTAGAGATACGTCACCGAGCCGTTAGCCGTGATGGTCACCTTTGTGTCAGGCAGTTCGGCGAAGCCTTTCTGGACGATACTGTGGGTTGATATTATATATGAATGTTTTATTGCAAATTTATGCCCGAGGGCTAATTGAAGGAACAGAAGAAACATTTGGTATAAAAAAACAATTAGTACACATAGAACTACTGATAACTACTAAGAAACTACTAGTAAAAACTACTGGGTTTGACTTCTTTTCTGAAGACAGAGAAAGACAAAGGATTCCAATTTTCTGTAATTTGTGGGTTTTCGGATGTTAAGAGGAGAGTAGTTTTCTTTTCATTTGTATATGTGTGAAAGTTTGGGTAGAATTTGGAGGCCACGTCAAAGAGTTCATTTCGTTCCTTGCTATATAGGGTATAATTTGCGTTTTGTCTTCCACCGTGTTTGCAAATTCGTTCATACACTCGTGTTTATTCGTGTTGCATGTGGATTCCCAACCTATGAATTTCAAGTTCTTTTCATCTGTAAATACAGTAGAACTTACGAGACGTAGTTCATTACGTACGATTGAGTATATAACTTACCCGTTATAAAGAACAATGTCAGGTCTCCAAATGCTGCCTCCCTGCATCCGAACAGCCTCAAGACCGCAATAGTCATCTGGATCCCATACTAGATATTCATCTGTCCAATACTGCAAGGTAGAATATATTTGGCATATTGGCATTGACCCAAGCGCTAGCGATAGCTGTTTCCAGTCAACGTAATGATAAAGAGTAGCAATCTATGAATACGAAACTTCAAAGTACAATTGATGTATCCCTTCTTTGATGAGTTGCAACAACAGAAGGATTTGTTTCGCCACATGTATCCGTGCAGATCACATATGAGATAATTTAGGCCACAGCATGTAAATTTTATGGATGACATCCTCCGGAGATTCCAAATCTAATGCGAGCTGGCGAAAAAAACAAGGCGGGCCGAGAAAAACAAGGTTCCTACAGTTTTGACTCAATCATTGTACAAATGGTTTTGATTCAGTAGAAACATCACATATACACAGCCAGCATCACATATCACTGCATCAAAGTAAGAAACAAAACATTAAATCAGAGCCTTGTCTCCTCTCTTCATAGTTATCTGCCATCCACCTTCCGGCATGGCAACAGACATCTTTGCCCATTTTCGGCATGTTGACCACTGTCAGAAGGTAACAAATTTTTTCCCCAAATCAGGCGAAAATTAATTTGCGCGCTGATGTCATCCATAAAAATTACTTGCTGTGGCCTTAGACTCGGACCATCACGCATTGACGTGTGTTTCATGCCTTGTAATGGCGAAGAGTAGAATTCCAGGAATACAAAATTACAGCTGATGTATTCCTTCTTTCATGAGCTCTAACAACAGAATAATCATATTTCACAAAAGGCATTCATGCAGACTTGCGTTTTGATATGATTTTTCTTCGCTTATGATCACCATTTGTCACAGCTGTACGTGGCTTACTGCAAGTTAGACGTGTCTAGACTTCATATTATGTTATAATAACTTTGATAACTTCACTATACAACGATGTAAAATTAAAATAAACTTTATGTTAGACCTACCAGTCTCATCCACATTATTCCTTCAATCTGTTGATCTCGATCATTCTGTAAGAGAGAAAAGAGAGAGAGAGGGGATGTTTAACAGAAGCTGCATATTTTATTATATATTTTACTTGACAGCCAGTCCACAAAGTATGGCGAGTCTACTGGTGCATTCAGTCTTTTAGGCCACAGCAAGTAATTTTTATGGATGACATCAGCGCGCGCATTCATTTTCACCTGATTTTGAAAAAAAAATTGTTGCCTTCTGACAGTGGTCAACATGCCAAAAACGGATAAAGGTGTCTGTTGCCATGCCGGAAGGTGGATGGCAGATAACTATGAAGAGAGGAGACAAGAAAAGGCTCTGATTTAATGTTTTGTTTCTTACTTTGATGCAGTGATATGTGATGCTGGCTGTGTATATGTGATGTTCCCACTGAATGAAAACCATTTGTACAATGATGGAGTCAAAATTTTAAATTGTAAGAACCTTTTTTTTTCGGCCCGCCTTGTTTTGTTTTTGCCCGCTCGCATTAGATGTGGAGTCTGCGGAGGATGTCATCCATAAAATTTACTTGCTGTGGCCATTTATATTGCCATTTATATTGCTGTGGCCTTATAATGACTTCGAGACCCATCGGATGATCTTTCTATCGTTGGATTAGAATAGAATTAACTTTCTGTAACTTTCAAAATGTAAAGCAATGGTGGGCAAACTATTTTACTTTTAGATTTTTCGGATGGTTAGAGCTAGATGGAGTTAAAGACTTACCACGTCCAGCAGTTGTGCTAAGGCGACATTAATGGTAACTCTGACGGGAGCAGAGCTCTTCTTCACCGGCCGTGCGTCCGTTCTGTACCCGGTCACCAGTCGGTCAAGTAGATCTTTCTCGGTAACGTTTCCCGAGCTTCCTGTACAACACATGTCAAGTAATAAATAATGCTTCTTTAATTGCTTCTTACACAAATAATTTTTTATTCTTTTTTCTTAAGAAAAGAAAATATTTCTACTATCATGCTCACCAACAAGAATCTTAAGAATTTTTATAATTTTAAGAAAGTTTACAGTATTTTTTTTTCTGCTATAAGAAATCTTTTCTTGTGAACAGAATGGTTTTCTTGCTTCAAGAACAGTTAGCTATTAGTTCAAGAAATATTTTCTTGTGGACAGAATCGTTTTCTTGCTACAGCAAGAAAACTCGCAAGAAACACATGTGTTTCTTGAATTTTCTTGCTACGGAGATTCTTTAATTTCTTGTTCAAAGAATAATTTTCTTGCTACAAGATACATTTTCTTTGTACAAAGAAAAAAGCATTTTTGGTTTTTGGTAGTGTAACTAGTAGTACAAAACAGACACGGTCAGTAGTATAGCTCTAAGCATATAATGTACAACTGTTACAGTGCCACCCACCCTCCCCCAATCAACATAGAAGCATAGATTCATAGAAATAGCAAGTCAAACTGTAGCCACAAGAAAGTTACCGTGACATAACCCACATACCTCTGAACATGGCGACTAGAGCGGATGTCAGCAGTACCAGGCATGGACGCCAGCTTGCTTGCATCTTGTCGACCCAAATAGATCTCTACAACAAGATCCTTCTACCGTCTACACCACTGTGCATACAGTTCCATAGCCTGGTTAACCAGACCACCGTGAGCTCAGCGCTATCCTTTCGGCGCCGAGAGCGTTTGGGGCCGCCAACCAGGCTAGCTTTCTTCGGTCGGCGGCAAAAGAAGACTAAGCGTAATACAGGAAGTCAGCGGATACAGGGAAACCAGCTGGAGATAGGTCCGTGGCATAACTCGCCTGTGCTTGGTATTACAGGCCGAAAAATTACCGCCAAGCCGACCAAAGGTTCGGTACCCAGGCTAACAGTTCCAAGGTAAACACAAAAAGCACTGGTCCCAACTGGTGACATTCCCACGAACGATTGAAGTCAGGAATTGTTCTTCCTATAATCCACAATACGTTGAACCTCCCCGTAGCGGCTCGTGAGTATAATGTAAGCGGAAAATAGGGTAATTTCACCCCGCTGGTGGCAAGGCGCGAATATATTGTCTTACGCTGAACAGTCTGGGTAGTGTAAATGAGTCCTCTTGGTGGGAAGAAGCAATCTGTTATCATGCTTTCCGAGAAAAGATCTGTTCCGTAGTAGTGGGCCGACTGTGACTCACGTACAGGAAGTTCAGTTAATCTCATTTGAACTTCCTGTTTTTGGGGTTAAATCTTGTCTTTTGTCGAAAAGTAGTGGGGAGGGGGGATGTAGAGGGAAATCGTCTTATTTTCATGATAAGGCCACAGCAAGTAATTTTTGTGGATGACATCAGCGCGCGCATTAATTTTCGCCTGATTTTGGAAGAAAAAACAAGAAATCAGCATTTTGACAGTGGTCAAAATGCCAAAAATGGGCAAAGATGTCTGTTGCCATGCCGGAAGGTGGCTGACATATAACTATAAAGAGAGGAGACAAGAAAAGGCTCTGATTTAATGTTTTGTTTCTTACTTTGATGCAGTGATATGTGATGTTGGCTGTGTATATGTGATGTTCCCACTGAATGAAAACCATTTGTACAATGATTGAGTCAACATTTTAAAATGTAGGAACCTTGTTTTTTCGGCCCGCCTTGTCGCTGTCATCCATAAAATTTACTTGCTGTGGCCTAATTTATTGGACACTATCCAGTGTCTTTAATATAAAATGACTTTAATTTCCTTGCCAATAAATTTCCAAGTACGAATATTTTGCACAGGGCACCCTGATCTATGTCTAAGCATTCTCATTGATTTTTTTGACAAATTTCATGGAATAACGTCACATTCCAGGCTATGACTTGGTGTATAATGGCAAAAAAACATTAATATTCATACCTCTATGGTATGAAGTCTAAGGATAAATGCTAAAAAATGCCACTGACTTTCAACCACCAAATGTGCAATGGCATACTATAGTAAACGTCAAAATTGGAGCATATCTGATTTTAAAATCATGTTAAAAATTTAAAAAGTACTAATTTTTAGAAGCATGCAAAATTATAGTTATGGATAGGACTTTAAACAACACTGACGTAGTTGTACATTTTTCGATCAAAAATGTATTTTACAAATTTAAAATGCAATGATGAATCTCTAGAAGGAGCCTTGCAAAATATACAACGTTATTATCATCTCTTCTTTTAACTTCACTAATTTTGGAAAAGGTGGGACATTACGTCTTCCATGGTTTACAGAAGAGAAGCCAACCCCTTAGACATAGTTTTAGACTAAGCTATAGCTTTAGACAACTACCTTTTATCATGTAGATTTTAGTTATTTCATACTCTGTTTCATTGTTCTTTTATGTTTGTAATTTGCAATTAGCCTCCCGGCACGAATTTGCACTAAACTTTTCATTATATTTTATAGCTGAAGATAAAAGTTCTAGACTACACCAATGAGGTAGTAGTGCAGGCAGCCGTGGCCACAGCAATGAAGACCAGGAGGAAAATGCGGTCCATTCTAGCTGCCACCTCATTCCACTCACTCAACACCTCCTGTTTCTCCTCTCCTAGTTCTCTCTCTTCTCTCACCCTGTTCATTTTACCCACAATGCCATCAAGCTTAACGAGAATATGATTGGTCGAGAGATCCGATGCACGTCTGGAGTACGAAAAAGAACGCTTGCGGCAGACGGCATTTAGAGTATCCTCAAAACCAGACCGCATTGACAGAAGCACGATGTCCTTGTAACTTTTCTTTTGATGACGTTTTCGGCCCGTTTGATGTTTTTCTTCAGCAAAACTGTGACGCCCCCTACGACCACATCCGCAGAACAGCCACTCCATAATGACCACTTCCCGCGTCATGCCAATAATGGACTTGAGCCAATGGGGTGGCGGTTTGGGGTTTGGGTTTGAGAAGTGTAAACTGATGATGAAGATGGTCATGATGGTTGACATGGCAACAATAAGGATGATGGCACCGAAGAAACGACCTGAAAACGTTTACAAATTTGTGTTTAAATAATACTTCTTGGCATATTGATAGACCATACATAATGAAGCTAGTACGTCTCAGCACATATATTTACCTTCGCCAAGAAGGTTATGTTTTCGTTGGCGTTCGTGTGTGTGTGTGTTTGTAATTGTGTGTGTGTGTGTGTGTGTGTGTTTGCGTGCGTGTGTGTGTGTGTGTGTGTGTCCGTGGACACGATAACTTGAGAAGGCTTAAATGAATTGTTTTGATACTTGGTAGGTGGGTAGGTCTTGATGAGACCTCAAAATGATTAGATTTTGGATCCCCTAGCGGCTTGTTAAAGTACTGCAGCTGAACTTCCGGTTTAGATATCTCATGATCCGGACATTCTAGGGTAACGAAATTTAGATTGTAGGTTGCTCTTGTGATGGGGAAGACGTGACATGAGTTTGGGCACCCCAGCGGCTTGCTCTGAAACTGCAGGGCTATATGTTTGAAAATATTCAAAAGAACATATCAAGTACATAACAAGTACATATCAACTACATTTTCATAAGGCTTAACCTAACTAATACAAAAGTATTGAAACACGGATGTCTTACCTACTAAAGGGATGTCTTTAGAGGTGGTCGGTAGTGTAGTATTCACCAGTTGCATGTAGACCACCAGGGACAGCAACATGGTTGTACTGAGCGATAGTTTTTCCCCCGATTCCGGCGGTATCATGAAGCTCATCAAGCTAAAAAGCAAAGAAAAATTTAATTAGCTTTCATGCGGCCTGATAAGGATAACAAAAACACTAAAAGAATCACATATAAGTTCTGCCTTACATACCTTGCCATCAGGGTATCAGTTCCATCCCGAGCCTCGTTTTGGCGCAAACTCACGCGCATTCTCGCACGCGCTCTCGCGAGAACATATTTCAAAATGGCGCTCGTATTTTGAAATGTTTCTATGTGTTCGTTTTTTTATGCATTTCATCTTTCTTTAACACTAGGAAACGTACATCTGTTCCATCTCCAGCCTCGCTTTAGCGCAAATTCACGCGCATTCTCGCGAGAACATATTTCAAAATGGCGCTCGTGTTTTGAAATGTTTCTATGTGTTCGTTTATGCATTCCCTCTTTCCTTAACACTAATAAACGTAAAAAAATAACAAAGATGTTATAGAGTCTGCGCGGGAATACAAAGTTCAAGTGCAATTCAGGTCACAAGTCAGACATTTTCGTTGCTAAAATACAACTGTCTATCCAGAGTATCATAGTCATAGTCATAACAAATGCTGTTGAAATACAATAGATTTTTTACCTTATCAATACAATGAGGACACTTGGGAAGAAGATGAAAAAGACGTAAAACAGAGACTGGCGTTGGATGACGACATGGAACGTTACGTCAGGATAAGGCACGTCAGACGCCCTGCAGGGAAAACAAAGTGTTCTTAATATGTAACTATCTAAAAAAAGGGTAAAATAACTCCGTAAACTAAGTGGATTCAATAAACTGAACCTAGACGTCCACGGTTTCCAAACGAGAAGACAAACCCTTTCGGCATAACTATAGTTTTAGACTTTTACCTTTTGTCATGTGAATTTTTGTACACTATTTCTATGTTCTTTTATCCTTCTTATTCGGTCAGGAATTTACAATAAACTTATCTATTGTTCGTAATTCGTAAAATATTTGACTCACCCATAGGTTTCCACGTTTCGTAGTGCTGGCAGGTCGATAACTGTCCATATTCCATTATTCTCGAACTCCAGGTCGCCATGAGAGGATCTTTTTTTAGAAAATCATAGAAATATGACAGCCAATGGCACAATAAAAGTAAGAAATGCACTCTTGTAAACGACATGCTGTAGTATGTTACATGTACCTACTTTGAGCTTTACGATCAACACCCAACAAATATAGAAAGGCAGTTAAAGACACAGCACTACCAGAGGACTGTTGCAGTAGTATCTGTGTTTTCACTACTGTGTGGCCCAAAGGCTATGGAAACAGAGATGTGCGCCGCCCTCTACCCCGTATGGCGTGTTTTGGACGGCTGAGCTGTGGGTTTGTTTGTCCCTGTACTTTTTGTTATGTCAATAAAGAATCTCTTTGTCCGGACAGAGTAGGTTGACAGCACGCGGGAGGGGAAGATTGACATAAATGGTGAATGACAACAGGCTAAAAGGTCAGACACAGAAAATGGGGTGAACCCGAAGGCCACGAAAACCAAAGGTATTTCCCGGAAAGCTTAAATCTTCGATTTTTTCTTGTTTACGTTTGGGTGTAGGACAACAAATGTAAAAGAAAAACTAGAGAAGTAACATTTGCAAAGCATAATGTTTACCTTCGGACATGGTCTGCCCTGTTAATTTCTACTCAAACACATTCACATACATGTACTACTAGTATATATATGGTGACAGGAGCAGAGCAGACCATGAAATTGCAACATTATGTAACCCAACACCAGTCACCATGGTGCCAGACGTCAACAAATCATGTCATTGATCAGGTCAGAGGTCACTGTTTGGAGAAGAAGAGGAAGAAACAGAACAAAAACAATATGTTTTTCTTCGGTAAACATAATTAACGTACATGTTGACAACGTCGATTGCCAGACCGTCAAACGCCCATGAGCCGAACTTGAGCGGGCATGTCTGTGTGTCGTGAGGGAAGTCCGCCACGTTGATCTTGCACGACGCCTTGAACGTGAACGGGTACAGATACGTCACAGAGCCGTTAGACGTGATGGTCACCTTCGTGTCAGGAAGTTCCGCGTAACCCTCGTCAAATATTCTAAGAATATAGAAGAACTTTATTTACACAACAAAAGTACAGTGACTTTCCTAAGGCCACAGCAAGTAATTTCTATGTATGACATCAGCACGTGCATCAATTTTCGCCTGATTTTGGAAAAAAAAAGAAGAAATTTTGTTGCCTTCTGACAGTGGTCAACAAGACGAAAATGGGCAAAGACGTCTAAATATGTTACAATGCCGGAAGGTGGATGGTAGATAACTATGAAGAGAGGAGACAAGAAATGTTTTGTTTCTTACTTTAATGCAGTGATATGTGATGCTGGCTGTGTACGTGTATATGTGATGTTTCCACTGAATCAAAACCAATTGTACAATGATTGACTCAAAATTGTAGGAACCTTGTTTTTTCGGCGCGCCTTGTTTTTGTTCGCCCGCTCGCATTAGATTTGGAGTCTGCGGAGGATGTCATCCATAAAATTTACATGCTGTGGCCTAAGGTATATAACTACACATACAAACAGACACGTAGGTACAAAAGAGTTATCCTACATACAAGACTATAGATGAATCAACTTATACTACTTGTTCTAAGGTCTAAATATTCTTTGCTATATTTACCTATTTGTACACAGTAAGGGTCATTACACTCTAGAATATAAAGACAGGTGAAAGAAACTTACTATCATCCTAGGCAAGAACGTTCAAGGAAGCAGCTACAATATGTATATGCACATGTCATGCTTGTCATTGTAACCAGTTTTAGTAGTTTTTCACCTGAGTTTTTAGAATAACACAAATATGATGATACATACATGTATAGCTTGCAAGTATCAACTTTTATGTGATCTGCCTTTTTACTATCTTTTACTCTACTTACATTTTACTTGCTGAAGAATTGCTATGACCCCAAACGTTTAAAAATTGTTTAGTAAATTGTGTATATATGTAGCTACCTTTAGCATTTCATTACTGAATATTTGTTGGATTATGCTTTTGTGTAATATTAATGTTGTACTCACCCATTGTAGATAACTATGTCCGGCCGCCAGATGGCGCTGCTTTGGACACGGATGACGTCTAACCCATAATAGTCCTCCGGTTCCCACGATAGATACTCGTCTGTCCAATACTACAAGGCATACATGTTGCTTTTATCAAACTCACACCACTTATTCCTGACAGGAAAAGCTATCTGTCACCAAAAAGTCAAGACCATAGCATGTTCAGGACATAATATAGAAAAACCGGAAGTTCTGCTGCAGTACCAAGGTCATCCACCAGGAGGCCCATATTTGACCTTGACCTTTGTCTCCCTAAGACTTACCAGCATACCAAATATCATTACAATCCATAAAGGCGTTCTGAAGTTATGCTGACCACAAAGTTGCGGAAACACACACACACACACACACCAAAAACAATACCTCCATTTTTTATGGAGGTAATGAGTAACATTTAATGATCTTTGTCACTTTTATAAATTTTGTGAACGTACCTGTCTCATCCAAATGTTGACCATGATGTGTTGCTCTCGATCATTCTAGACGTGGTAGGAGAGAGGGCAGGGGGAATATCATTAATGTCAAATTATGAAATAAGATACGATAAAACATATTATCATATAGCCAGAAGGCGTCGACCAATCAGAAGGCTCCATTTGCCATCGGTTATCAAGCCGTAACCTCAAAAGTGGTCGGTTATTAGAATAACCGACCACTTTTTGGACCGTACCATTATACAGGGGACAGGGCGATAACGGTAGCGTTAAGAATTGTAGAATTGTAGTAATTGTTCGCTACGCTCACTTGGTGGTTTATTCGGTGGTTATTACACCTGACCAGGGATTATCTCACCATATACACCTCGGTGCGGGGCATTACCCCTTTATTATTTACAATATGGATTGCACAAGTGAGGTCTTTTGGTGCATAACAAATTTAGTGATGAGGAAATTAAGGAAACCAAGGCGGCACAATGTAGCAGAAATGTATTGTCTACAGGAAATAATGCACTCAAAGACCCACATTACATCTATACGTGCCATGTCATGTTTTGTAAAATGACACGTATGTGTGACAGTTGAAAATTAATGGGACTTGAATGGACAGATTTACGTGTTTTAGAGGACTGTTTAGTATGACTATAAAATGAACAGTACTCGAAGTCTGGCGTTGTAAAAATGTTAGACAATGTAAAAGAACTTTATTGCGTATTAAATGCAATACGGTAGATAAGGCCATACCGCCTTAATTTTATGGATGACATCCTCTGAAGACGCCTAAACTGGTGCGCGCGGGCGAATAAAAAAAATCCGGCCAAAAATAAAAATGCTACTAGACCACAGGAATACAAAGCTGGTATTGTGAATTTGGGGCAGTACTTAGCACGTATACGACAAGTTGGCACAAGCTGGCTTTTTGAGGAATTTAAGCATCGGCACTGAACGTATGAGTTCTTGAGTCGCAGAGCTTCGGTAGCCTGTGTGCCTGGCTCCGTATTATTGCAAACTACCATGGACTGCTAAGGCCTACATGAGGCCTAGAGCCAGGGCAGGGCCTCGGAGGACGTGATCTTTTTTTTAACAGGCTAAAATTAATGCTGGCGCCGATGTCATCCATAACATTAAGTCGGTGTGACCTTACATCGTAGTTCTAGACGTCTGAACTATGCAGAGACTCACCACGTTGATAAGCTGAGCCAGGGCGATGTCCACCCCAACAGTGACGGGAGAGGAGCCGTTCTTCACCGGGCGAGCGTCGGTGTTGTACCCGGTCAGAAGACGGTCGACCAGGTGGTTCTCGCTGTGATTCCCTCCGCAAACTGCGTTGCATGAAACATCGTTTTTTTATACACACGCCACGGACGTTCAGCTGCAGTACCATAACAAGCCGCTAGGGGGCCCAAATCTGATCATTTCTAGGTCTCAACAAGACCTACCCACCTACCAAATATCAAGACAATCCATCCAAACCTTCTTAAGTTATTTTGTTTACAGACACACACAGAGAGATAGACACACACACGAACGCCTACGAAAACATAACCTTCTTGGCGAAGGTAAAAATGCTAGTGATTTAAGAACAAGTAGAACTATCTTAGCTACCTATGTCTGTCTCCGATCGTTCTGTCGAAAAGTGCATGCGATTCAGCTGGCTAAAAATTACTGGTTGGCTGCAAGACTATACATATGTTAAGTCCGGAAATTAGAATAAAAAAGCACCATGTAAACCGTATATCCGTATAGGGCTGATAATTTTTATTTCTAATTAAGTCAAGATTGAACCCCGCTGAATTACATAATGTAAAGTCCCCTATTCTCAAACATGAATAGGTGCAGGAAATGTACAGCTACGTTTGATCAAACACGTTGTTATAAAATGGTACTACATAAACACAAAAGTTACAAGCAATACTTAGTACCTACCTTTAATAACAGCTACCAGGAGGACTGCAAACCATCCCAGGCGTACTCCCTGCATGTCCATATCCTAGATATTAAACACAGTCAAGAAATAAAAATCTAAGTGTTTATCGCAACGTAGATCTTAACATGCGTACCACAGCGAGTCACGACTTGTGAAATGACCCATACTTGATTAAACAGCTCTATTTACAGCATGTTTTCTTCGTCTGTGAAGACATTTCGCCCCCACCCCTCATTAGGCCAAAGCAAGTAAATTTTATGGATGACATCCTCCGCAGACTCCAAATCTAATGCGAGCGGGCGAAAAAAAACAAGGCGGTCCGAAAAAAACAAGGTTCCTACATTTTAAAATTTTGACTCAATCATTGTACAAATGGTTTTGATTCAGTGAGAACATCACACATACACAGCGAGCATCACATATCTCACTGCATCGAAGTAAGAAACAAAACATTAAATCAGAGCCTTTTCTTGTCTCCTCTCTTCATAGTTATCTGCCATCCACCTTCCGGCATGGCAACAGACATCTTTTTCCATTTTCGGCATGTTGACCACTGTCAGAAGGCAACAATTTTTTTTTTCAAAATCAGACGAAAATTAATGCGCGCGCTGATGCCATCCGTAAAAATTACTTGCTGTGGCCTTAAACAATATAATGGCAAGGCTCCGTGTCGTATCTTTGAACAAGCTTAGCAACGAGGAATTCACCTTGAGTGTGTACTACTGGTGAGGCACAATACTACCACAAAACAATAAAGAATAATTATGCTTGGTGACGTCCTAACAATGCGTTGGCCATGGGCATATTCATAAATCATAATCATTTATGAGGACAAGAGTTTACAAGACGGGGCTGGTTTCAATCACTCCTCGACGTCTACGTCACACACGTCATTAGTTATTGACAAATCTAGGGATCATCCAGAAATAGGGCATTTTACGCAAATCGGATGTGATTACGGCTTATATAATTCATCATTTATAGCTTCATCTGGTAAATGTCAATCTATGGAACCTTACTGACAACAGAAGTCCTTAGTTCGAGAAAACGAGGTTTAGAAAGACTGTGGAATTCTAAAACTTGTCTACGTGCTAGGCTACTGAGTCTAAGTCACCCCATGCATATAAATTAAACCCATACAAACAATGTGTGTTGTTCAAGCGCACCTGACTATCACCTATTGTGTTAAAAGTGCAGTTTTTAGGGCTTGGAAACCTGATTTTTCAAAGTCAATATTCTGGTCACTTATCTACATACTGAGTTGAAACCACACTACCCCAATGTATATTGACCCTCATGGAGCAAAAGTACCCACAATTCTGACAGAAAATGGTTACTGGAAGGGCCCTGTGCTGATTTTTAGGGTACCACCCAGAAAATAAAGGACTCATCTTGGGGCTTGTTTCTGCAGTTGTGAATACCCAAAGCTTGAAATACTGATTGAAATGTGCTAATGTGAAGCAGTATGTGTCAATATCACAAAGATTATCTTATTCAGAATATTTTCAGTTTTGCTGCCCTGAAATCGCATTGGATTCATTTAATCAGTGTAGATGAACGATTCGTAATTATTAATATCATCACCATCTATTCTTAGGGTGTAAACATACCAAAACGCAATATATACACATGTCATACACGCACGGCCAATTTAGCTTGTACACAGCTCCAAAATACCTGGTAGCCTATGTACACAGTACCGTTCCGCTTGCCACTTTACTTCCCTCAACATATTTATCACAACACTAAATTGTGATTGCGTTTCCTTTTTGTTTTACTGAAATAAAAACGAATACTACACCAAAATTGTTAGACACGTTTGCATACTAGTGCCCACCTGTTTTCAGAGATACTGAAGAATATAAATATATGCTCACCTTATTTTGGTGTCAGCCTACTAGAAGGGTGTTTTGTTTAAGACGGCTTTGGCAAACAGGTGTGCCTGTTTTCTGTCAGGTAGGGTGTACTTAAGACCTGTTGAGACTTCCTTGGTAGGTCGCAGTTCTATGCGTATGATCTCAGGTGAAACGCATCAGGTGTTACGTTAGGTCATGTTGATTTGATTATATGGATGACATCCTTGAACCCCAAAACTGATGCGAGCGTGCGAATAAAAAGAAATTCCGGCCAAAAATAAAAATGATACTAAACCACAGGAATACAAAGCTGGTATTGTGAATTTGCGGCAGTACATAGCGATGTATACGACAAGCCGGCTGGGTTTTTGCGGAATTTATGAATCGGCACTGTACATATGTACTGTTCTTGAGTCGTGGAGCTTCGGTAACCTGGGTGCCCGGCTCCGTATTGTCGCTAACTACCATGAACTACCCAGGCCTAGAACCAGGCCAGAGCCTCGAGGGATGGGATTTTTTGAGAACAGGCGAAAATCAATGCACGCGCGGATGTCATCCATGAAATTAAGACGGCGTGGCCTTACTTAAAAATACCTTGGCCTAAGACGACGGCTCTTTTAAAATGAGAGAAAAATGAAATCCGTTGGCACATGGATATCCGATTTTAATAAACTGGATAAACGCATAGATACCAATGTCCCTAAAATGACCCAAATATTTTAATGGCAAATTTGTGTTTGATCATGTTCCTGCAGATTCGTCTTGTCCCGTAAGGTGGCGTGACAACACCATCTATTAAATATATGACGTAAAATAATAGCCCATGGCCATCACAAATACATCGTTTTCAAAATATCCTCAATCTAACCTCAAAAGTAGTCGGTTATTAGAATGGCCGACCACTTTTTGGACCGTACCATTATATAGGTGAATAGCTACGCTACGCTCACTCGGTGGTTTATTCGATGGTTATCGCACCTGACCAGGGATTATCTCAACCATACACGCCTTGGGGCGAAGCATCAACCCTTTCTTAGCGTTAACTCGTTGGAATAATCGTAAATTTACAAGTCACTTTTATACATGGCAGCTGTTCAAACCTACTAGTCACCATATCCACCGTGCGGTACTTGTTCTGTAACGTATTGTTGGTAATACCTCTTAAAGAGAGCTGCACGCAGGCCGAATGCTATCCAAGTTTTGCAGATGATTGCTCTGCTGAATAAGTAGTTTGCCTACTAAAGATAAGTGTTTTTCGGAGATCTGTGTCAAACAAGTAAAATCGATTTTCTGTGGCCACAATACTGAGTACCTGATACCAGCCCAGAAGAGAACAAGAAATAGCCATGCCTTCAAGTACCAGAGTTATCAACCAAGGATTAAGATGTTCAAGAATTCATTCTTTCCTAGAACTATTGCGGAGTGGAACTCACTGTCACAAAGTACAGTAGGGGCATTGTCATTAGATAGCTTTAAACAATATCTAGAGCTAGAAGTTCAAGGGTTAGGTGTAACAAGTCGATCGGTGTAATAATATAGCCAGCTGCCGCCGCGCCGCGTGCCTGCGACGCTGATGAGTTACGCCGATACAGATACAGATAAGCTAGCTATGTTTAAGAAAAAATCTGGAGGGATTTTAATAGCTATCTTTAAATTTATTTGGATCATTATGCACAATAAGACAATGTACAAATCTGTAACACTAAATTAAACGTAAACAGTGTTGAAGGAACACATGTGTCAGGCAATATTACTGAATACATGTACATTTGATGTAGATGCACATTTGATGTACATTAGTAAGACTATCGCAAAATGAGCATCAACTATACATGATATGCATGAACGCAACAAAGTGTTTTACAATTTCCTGATGAGTAAAACTTGAGTTATGTTGCTTTTCTAAGAATTCCTCCAAGTTTAATCCCATTTTTGCTGATATATGTACACTCATGTAGATTTATGTACACTTATGTAGACATAGCTAGTCAAAAAGAGATATTTTACATAGATTCATACACCATGGCAATGAAGGCATACTCTTTACATAGATTCGCAACAGAACTGACACATTTTTTTTAAGGAAACTATGGTTTTGCAACTTGAACCAATTCTATGGTTTTGCTCACATCAACCAATTCGTCCTGCACACGAACACAAACACGAACATGTATCATCAAAGAACATACAATTATAAATACAATGCAAATACCTCATGATGGCTTAGTCCTAGAGAATATCGCCATATCATTTGGCAAAATATTCTCACACAGAAAAAGACTTGGTGTTCCCATCTGTGTATTTATGTCAACAGCTATGTCGTGGACAGTCAACAAAGTTCATGTTTTATGAAATAAAGACTAAGCTTTAACTTCCAACACTTAGACTACAAAAATTGGACTTGCCCCAAATTTTCGGTTGACTCCATCAATTTTGTTCACGGAATGGACCCGTCTACTCTTGGAACGTGACGTCAGAGACACGTGACCGTAGTAGCGGGTCATACGTGCCAGATAACTTGTGTCGCCCCCCGTCTCTGTCCAGGGTAGTTCTGTGAGTCACGTGTCTCTGACGTCACGTTCCAAGAGTAGAGGGGTCCATTCCGTGAACAAGGTTGATGGAGTCAACCGAAAATTTGGGGCAAGTCCCATTTCTGTAGTCTAAGTGTTGGAAGTTAAAGCTTAGTCTTTATTTCATAATGACTTGTACCAACACAGATGTTCACAGAACAGCAAAGTTCAAGTTTGTTGTTGTTTACGAAGCTGTATTCGTTGCCTCAATGCACCGTGCATTGTTTAACATGTGACAATGCCGACAAGGGTACCGACTTTCTATCAGCAAAAACAGCTGACAATTTGGTACACCAAACATCTCCAGATGTATTGGGAGAATCACACCCATATTCAAGACAGCAACTATAAAGTGCCCGCTCATGGTTTTGTTACATCAACTCCATTTTCAGGCTTACGGATTAGGTAACTGACTGCTACTAACTCTATTGGTGTAAGTCATAGTAGCATTGACAAGAACGGAGACCACGAAGAAGACGCCGAGTAGACATCTGTCCAGGCGTGCGGCCACTTCTTTCCACTCGTTCACGATGGCTTCTTCCCGCTCCTTCTCCTCTCTTTCCTCCCTGGTGTCGCGGATTTCGGTGATGATGGTGTCGATCTTCTCCAGCAGGGCGGCGTCGCTGTTGGTGACCAGCGGCGGGACCTTGGTCTGCCGCTCGTGGGGGAAGGCGTTCCCGTTCTGCTGAGACGGCATGGGAGACACCTTGTTGGATTTTGGTCTGTTCTGTTTCTTGAGGTTCACGTCTGAGGAAGTTGACCTGGAAGGCAGAAGAAAAATGTCCAGATTATGCATGGGGTACAAAATGACTAATAAGCTTGTGGACGTACTAAGCTCGAAGTGTCTAATACCAGAACAGAACAAGTAATAGCCAAGTACTAAAGTTATCAACCAAGGATTGAGGTGTCAAATTCTTTTCCTAAAATCATTGCAGAGTGGAACTCATCACTAGATAACTTTAAAGAATGTTTAGAGATGTGCAAAGGCTACATGTAGGTGTAACAAATCCGTCGGTGTAACATAACCAGATACAGGATCTGGTGAGAGAGAGAGAGAGAGAGAGAGAGAGAGGAGAGAGAGAGAGAGAGAGAGAGAGAGAGAGAGAGAGAGAGAGAGAGAGAGAGAGAGAGAGAGAGAGAGAGAGAGAGAGAGAGAGAGAGAGAGAGAGAGAGAGAGAGAGAGAGAGAGAGAGACAGAGAGAGAGAGGCAGAGAGAGAGACAGAGAGAAAGAGACAGAGAGAGACCTAGTACATATACAGACCTCTCGCTGAGGCGCCTGATCTTGAAGCCTGACCGGGCCTGTACCGCCCTGCAGCAGCCACAGAAGAACCACTCCGCCCACTCGTCCCTCCTCTCCATCCGCAGCAGCCGCTTGAGCCAGGTGGGCGGAGGTTTGGGGTTGGGGTTGGTGAAGTGGAAGGACAGGATCCAGATACTCAGCATAGACGACAGGGACACTATCGCAATGATGGCTCCGAAGTACCTCCCTGAAAAAAGAATAATGCTATTAGTTACTACATTTGAACGGTTATATTAACGGTTATAAGTTTAACAGTAGTCCAAATTGTTTATTGTTTTGCACTCACAAAATAAAATGAAATATAACAAATGAAGTTAAGTAGACATGCATGGGAGGGCCAGAAACCTGGTGGTTTATATTTGGCCCTTCCCAATATTATAAGATTAAAAGTTACCATTGATACTGGATGAAACAAAATTCAAACGAAGAAGACAAAAATAACAGGAAATAAACAGAAACAGTTCGAAGAACTAATGAAACAATATAAATTATCTATCCAACAAATAAAGAAAGATCAAACTAATTAATCTAGTTATTACGAACATCAGTACAAATGTAAATTAAATGAGCAAGTTTTCAAATCAACAAAACAAGGATAGCAAACAAACTCAGGAAATGGTGGTTGGTTGAAGTAGTATTGGCATAGTAATGGCCATTTGAAAATACCACAAGAAACAAAGTATTATGAACGTTATTGCTTACAAAGACACACAGATATGTTACAACGATCTACAAAATTACCTATGAAGGGGATGTATCTGGATGTTGTCGGCAGGTTCTCGGCCACGATCTGCATGAAGACGACCAAAGCCAGCAGCATGGTGGTGCTGAGGGACAGCTTCTCGCCCGAGTCGGGGGGCATCGCAAAACTCAACAGGCTGAAACGAAATTCATTTGTTAACAAGATTACAACAAGAGAAGTAACATTTGCAAAGCAAATGCATAACCTTCAGACATGGTCTGCTCTGTTAATTCTTACTCAAACACATCCACATACATGTAACTGTTACTGCAAGTATATGGTGACAGGAGCAGAGCAGACCATGAAATTGCAACATTATGTAACCCAACACCAGTCACCATGGTGACAGACGTCAACAAATCATGTCATTGGTCAGGTCATAGGTCACTGTTTGGAGAAGAAGAGGAAGAGGAAAAAACTGAGCAAAAACAATATGTTTTCTTTTGGTAAAAATAACACGATTTCAAATAGACACGACACGAATAGCCACTTGCGATATACAAAATACTTGAGTATTATCATACGTAGTCATGCATTGCTATAATTCTGGAACTTAAATTTTAAATTTATTGACTCAGTACTGATCACAAAGAATGTAGTAACATTTGAAATTACTCTTACGGAAATGCATGTGGTAATTTATCATTGATAACAGTTGATGTATGAAATTATGTTCATGACGTTATATACCACCATCACCATCATCATCATCAACTGCATTCACCGTTTTCCCATTCCCAGGATGCATAGCGTCAGGGGTCGATATACGACATACCGTTGCTTTAAAACGTTAACGTTGCTCTCTAAGTTATACCGTCTGCTAATAGAGAGGGCCATAGAACTATTTCTCGAAATAATTCAACAGATAGTGTAGTATAATAGAACTATAAAGGGAGCAACCTCCCCTAGCGCTAAGCAACCTGGGGACTTTTTACCCCAGGGCGCTATACATGCTGGGAATGGGAAAAGGTGAATTTGCATACAGACCTGATGATCAGGATAATGATACACGGCGCCACCACGTAGTACAGGTAGTACAGCGACTCTCTCTTCATGATGATGTAAAACGTGACGTCAGGGTAAGGCTCCGGGCAACAGCTGTCAACAGGTCAAAGTTCGAGTTAATTTGCATGCCACACATCAGGACCAGTTGTCCCTTTGTACCTGCTTGTATCTATCTGGGTGTACTATGTAATATCTAAGCTAACTATGACTACTGTTACTAATAGCTTAAAGTTTATTGACTAATTTATTGATTGATTGATTGATTGATTGATCGATCGACCAATTGATTGATGTACTTGTCACCGGATTTTAAGGTGAAATAAAGTTCATATTATAGATATGGTTGATTTTATGTGATTTACCTTAGCAATATGATAGACTACTGATGAAAAATTAGCTTTGCTGAAATCATAGATTAAACGTAGCTAAATTACAGCACTGTATCGCTATTTGACTATTTGAGAATTCCATGTATTAGTATGCATATATTTGAAAACAATGGGAAGCATCAACATAAATGTAAATAAATACCTGTAATAGGCCTCGCTTCTTATTGCCCGAAGTTCCGTGATGCTCCATTCTTCGTTTCTGATGAAATTGGACAAGTCGCCATTTGGACCCCTGTGATACGGGAAGATATTCCTATTTTTAGGTACCAGAAATCAAAAAGGCAAAACATGTTGAAGCTTTTACCAGCATAATCTCAAAGATGGGAGCGCGTATTTGTGAGTGCATGCACTGTGGTTTAGCTGAAAGTTCATGATTCATTTGATAACAAGCAATCATCACTCAATGTACATGTAGTCCTCTATATGTCAATAAACAAGAACTCTTTTGTTCAATCAGGAATTGTTTACTAGAGATGGAATATTGAACTTTGACCTACACCACAATGCATCACTCGCACATGCGCCCTGGTAACGATGAGACGACACTAGACATGTAGAAGAAAAATTTCCAGACCATGCATGGGGTACAAAATGACTAATAATCTCAAACACTAAGTATCTGATATCAGCACAGAGCAGAACATGAAATAGTCATGTCTTCAAGTACCAGAGTTATGAAGCAATGATTGAGGTGTCAAAAACTCGGGACGGGGGCCGACATCGTCTAAGAGATACCTTTGACCCATTGTTGACGTCACACTTCAAAGAAGCCACGTGACAAGCTTCACTGGGTCAGTCTACTGAGCAAGACCAGAGTGACTGGTCGAAAGCTCTAGGTGATTTTTTTGTGTTGGACCAAAAGTTTTAACTTGAAACTGATTTCAACAATGTTTAGAGTGAGATGTGCAAAGGCTATGTGTTCTTTGGTGATATGATGCTCACCTATTGGTAACGTTCAATGAGAAGCCGTCGTAGGCCCATGACGAGAACTTGAGCGGGCAGGCCTGCTGGTCGTACGGGAAGAACTCGACGTTGATGAGGCAGGAGGCCTTGAACGTGAACGGGTACAGATACGTCACGTAGCCGTCAGAGTTCACGATGGCTTTGACCTCAGGCTGCTGGGCGAATCCTTCGTCAAACACGCTGTGAAAAGAGAATCAGAGGACGTCATTCAAAATACCAGACTGTATACTGATGAGGACGCAGGAGTTTTCTTTTACACAACCAAGATATATGTCAGACACCTTCCTCGGAGCTTCTGACTGGAGTTCTGCTTCTTGCCGCTATATGTAGCCGATGAAGGTGGCGAGAAGCAGAACTCCAGTCAGAAGCGCTGAGGAAGGTGTCTGATAGACACCGAAATGTCAGCACTTAGGTGATAAATCTTGGTTGTGTAAAAGAAACATCTTGACTGTATCCTATACACTTAACCTATCCTTAAGCCAAAATACTAACTATAGCCTGACTACATAACGCTTGGTCAGACCTCTGGAATTCAGAAGAATTGAGAAAATGTTAATTCTGCTAATTTATGCGTATGTGCTAACATGTCATTGTGTACACCCCAAGCAAGTAAGCTAACATGTCATTGACCAATTGTGAGACTGAAACATGTTTGTTACCATTATAGTATTGGAGGCTGTGATGGCTGGTTTCAGTGATCAGGTAGTCTTGACCTCCTATTGGACTGATTTTCAGTGATAAATTGAGTAGTTCTGGGAACGGTTCTCTCTATATATATACAAGCTGTCAGAGAGGGTGCCCAAATACGATCAGCCAGGTGTAACATAGGCTAGCCAAAGAACAATCACTTCAAATATTATAAATCTTACTTGTTATATAAGACGATGTCCGGTAACCAAATGTTGGTACTGGTCAGTCGTATGGAGGTGATGTTTCCGTAGTCAGAGGAGTTCCATTTCAAATGTTCGTCGTACCAATACTGGAAAGGACACAAGGCAAATCAGCATCAACATTGACGGGGGGCGCCACGGACTTTCTGCAACCTATGATCCACTGCTCACGGAGTCACGTGCGTTATCTGTGTGACGTCACAGAAGCGGTGGATTGCTCATTCCTTGACAAAGACTGGAGTTGTACAGTCGAAAATTTGGGTGAGTCCAATTTTTGTTGTGTTGGAAATCACAGTTCAATTTTGATCATAATGACTTCTTCCAACACAGATGAACTTTCAAGATAACATGGAGTGATACAAGTCAGGAAGAGTTAATTCTTAGAAAATGGACCAAGTTTCAAAATACAGATAAATGTCTACAATTCAAATGGAAGGCTACGCATGCCATAACTTTCAAACATGTGTGTGAAATGAACGAATGAATGAATAAACCAGTGTACCACTTCTATGGCAATGTCTGTCCGGTCATTTTGCAGATGTAGACGTTTTGTATTCTTAAGGAAATGAAGCAGACTGACCACCCAAGAAATGGCAACATGATAATAGGTTGGTGACGTTAGTTGCCAGTGCTAGATCACTAAGGACCTGCACTCCATGTTTATAAAGTCAATGCTGCGACTTAACCTGACTGTACACTATAAATACAAGTGCTGCAACTCTCCATTGTATCCAGTGACTATTAGGTTTCGTGCTTACATAAGACAGGAAGTGCCTCAAGTACAGTAATTATCGTGATCATGACTTTGCGAAATAGGATCATGATTTAAACAGGAAATGACGTAATTATAATTAGTACTCACATGTCTCAGCCACACGTTGATTGTGATGAGTTGTTCTCTGTCATTCTATAGAAACACAAAACATTAATTCAATCAGATTATCTTTTGAATGCTGGCATCCACAACTTAAACATCTGTACTCAAAATACTCTTATACCACACCAATTTAATTTGTTGGTTCTCGGATGTTTTTAGAGAAAATATGAAGCGACAGGGAGAAAAAAAATAAAAACAGGTGTAAGCATCCTATTACAGCCCCAAATGCTACGATAAGAGCCATGAAGTCAACACAAAAGGCTGGGTTAATATTTAAACAATGAATTTTTAACTTTTAATCAAACCACTGCATTGATAGATGGAAAAACTGTAATAACTAGGAAGAAAGGGACTTTCCTCAACTGTTGGGGGCAAAATATGAACATTTCGAGTTGATTCAGAGCCATAATCTTTTTTTTTTGCAACTTACAAAAAATGAAGAGGCGAATCCGAGAATCAGCAAATTAAATTGGTGTTGCCTTATATAAGGAATAATGACATTAAAATGAACCCTTAACGTATCTAGTGTAGTATTGAGCCCATCTAAAATGTCTAGATCATTTAAAAAAAAGACGTAACGAATCTACCACTTTAGAGAGTGAGACATCATGTATAGCAAACGACCTACAGTCCAATGCCCCCCTGCCTTGGCCCTAAGGTTTAGCTTACATTCTCACCCACAGTTACGACTAAACAAGCTGATTGTATTAGTCAAAAGACAAGAATCGTATTCAACAGGGCCTTTGTACGCCGCCCAATTGACGCTGGCCCCTCTGAACAAATAAGACAAAAACGTCTGAGACAATCAGAAGTGTGTTGTTTCAATCGTCAGATAACCAGGTATTACGGTAATGCATTGACCGCAACAATAATGCGAAGTGGTGTGCGGTAGGTTGCGAGTTCGATTCCCAAAGACATTCCAGAGATTTTAGAATGTAAAATATAAAAAAAAGGTAAAAACGTCTGAGACAATCAGAAGTATGTTGTTTCAATCATCAGGTAACCAGGTATTACGGTAATGCATTGACCGCAACAATATTGCCAAGCGAGGCCCGTTTTGTGTGTGGTAGGTTGCGAGTTCGATTCCCGACAGACATACCAGAGATTTTAGAATGTAAAATATATAAAAAAAATCTGAGACAATCAGAAGTGTGTTGTTTCAATCGTCAGATAACCAGGCATTACGGTAATGCATTGACTGCAACGATATTGCCAAGTGGTGTTCGTTTTGTATGCGGTAGGTTGCGAGTTCGATTCCCAAAGACATACCAGAGATTTTAGCATGTAAAATATAAAAAAAAGACAAAAACGTCTGAGACAATCAGAAGTGTATTTTTCAGTCGTCAGATAACCAGGCATTACGGTAATGCATTGACCGCAACAATAATGCGATTTGTATGCGGTAGGTTGCGAGTTCGATTCCCGAAGACATACCAGAGATTTCAGAATGTAAACTATAAAAAAGATAAAAACGTCTGAGACAATCAGAAGTATGTTGTTTCAATCATCAGATAACCAGGTATTACGGTAATGCATTGACCGCAACAATAATGCGAAGTGGTGTGCTGTAGGTTGCGAGTTCGATTCCCGAACACATTCCAGAGACTTTAAAATGTGAAATATAAAGAAAATATAAGTGAAGTTTGTCACTGCAAATGGTAAAGTTTCACAAAGTTGCTTAAAATCGTAGTTTGGAGGCATGTCTAGTATTATTGTTATTAACAGCATATCATCGGCATTGTTGTCTTAACTCTATTGTCTTGATTGACGTTTACTTTGTCTTTTAGGTGAAGTGTAGATCTTTATTTTCGGTTTTGTACTTGCATTTAACGGCATACATCAAAATACCCATAAAATATATTTAAATGTGGTTTAAATATCTGTTTCCGTGCTGTAGCATCAATAAAGGAATAGTGGACAACAACCAGGTAATCAAAGGTTCATCTCTTGTCAATTTTTGCCTCCCTATAAGAGTTTTAGTCAACCAAATAACCACGTATAACATCAGCAATATCATCAACGGCAATTGAAACATTCAACAATCAGAGCTACAGGAAAAGAAGAAACAAACTGACCACGTCAATGACTTGAGCCAGCGCCATGTCCAGTGAGACTTGCACGGCCTGGGAGGCGTCTTCCACCGGCCGGGCTTCCCTGTTGTAGCCGTTCAGCAGATGTGTGATGAGATCGGCCTCCAAGGACAACCCACAACATCCTAGTAGATAGACAGACATATGTAAGACAGGTTATGCGACCATTGCTGTATATAGATCAGTGTTTTATCCAGACACCACTATGCACGCTCAGGCACGGTTCTGGATAGTTCGCGTGTATCCAGAACCGTACTTTTTTCAGATCAATGCTCAGACACGGTTCTGGATAGTTCGCCTGTGTATCCAGAACCGTGCTTTTTTAGATCCATGCTCAGGCACGGTACTGGATAGTTCGCGAGTATCCAGGACCGTGCTTTTTTCAGATCCATGCTCAGGCTCGGTTCTGGATAGTTCGCGTGTATCTAGAACCGCGTTTTTTTTTTTCAGATCCATGCTCAGGCACGGTTCTGGATAGCCCGGGCATATCCAGAACCGTGCCTGGGGCAAATCTACGTTCTTGGATACGCGCGCGTATATACCATCCAGAACCGTGCATGATCGTAGCACTAAAATAACATATTTAGACATAGAACTAGAACTCGAAACGATATATATATAACTATGTCACAATTAGTCTTATATACAATGTACTGCTTTTACCATTAATTCTTCAATGTAAGAGAATACGTTGACCTCTATTTGAAACAGGTATTGTATTTACAGCAATTTTCCGTGTTTTTAGAGAAACCATCAGCATTCAATACCAGAAAAGAGCAAAACATTTACACTAAAAACAGTCTGAAGCCGACCGTAGAAAAGAGCAACAAAAGTGGCATGCTTGGCGAGACAGTGACACATTTTACAACTCATACCACATTTTATAACTTCTTCTTTGCTCATAAAACTTCTAAACACTAGTCTATGATATTAAAGTTTAAAAGAAAGCATGCAAAGGACACAAGAAAAAGAGTTTTGATGTCTGTTGCTTATTTAACCCAGTTATACACTGGACTAGGACCAGACAAGGAAAGATCTTACCTTTCAAGATGGCGACCAAAATGGCGCAGCAAAGAAGCCACCTTCCGTGCATGTTTTCTCAGCTAATTTACCTCTCCTGTGCACAAATTCACAAAATACAGCATGTCATCACAAGAAAGACAATGTAGAAAACTGTATGTACATGAAGTATATAGTTACGAAGAAAGGTAGTATTTACATAGCCTCCACCAGGCCTTTCTGCGGGAATACGGATCGTAGAATTCGGCAAAAAAAGAGAGAAAAATTGGACAAGGGAGTCCGACCGCGGGGAGGTAGTTTCTTTCCCTCCTTCTTTCCCTACAAGGCGGCCAAACTCCCCTGGCAAATATTCTCCTATATATATAGCCAGCGTAGTTAGTCTGGTAGAGAATAGTATTTACGTAGTTGAGTATCTGTTATACTGACATAATCAATACAATTGTACTTAACCTTTTCAGGACGCGACATGAAGTAGATTTTGAGCACCTTTTTTCAAAACGCTTTTCACCACATAACAACAAACAGCAAATGTAGGAAGTTTTCAAGTCGTGTAAAGTAACGAAAAATTCTCAAATATAAACTAAGCGTGTCTGCAAACGGTTGAAGTGGGCATGTTTAATGGTGAATGTTTTCAGCTGTGCAAACAACTTCATCGTAACACAAAGACACTCATGTCAAGAGGCGAATCGGCTTAAACTTTTATCCAGTTTGAACTGATAGTAATGCTATTGTTGTGACTACGTAATCCTCTTGAAATTCCAGGTGGCCATAGATACGTTTTCTGACGTATTCTATCTCACAGAACCACAAAAATATTAATGTTATACTGCGACATTGTTTGACTTCTAATGTTAGTGTTATAGTTATATATTAGCCTCCGTTGCAGGCTTATAGAACTGGGGGTTTGGTTAGTAGGGTTTGGTGGTCTCGGCTGTTTTCTGATTAGTCCACTTCAAAAAACGGGGGTACTTCAACCAGGCCGGCTATGTTGTCTATATGCAATCAGAAAATAGCACATAAAAGCTCCCAAAACCCCCAGTTTTTGGCATGCTATGGAGGCTAGTTATATATAGGGAGAGGAGAATATGTGCCATTTTTAACATTCTGGTCGATAAATATAAAGCCCTACAGTCATCAAGGGAAAAATCAGAACTGACGTTGGCATAAAAAAGCGAAGTTGACAGTTGTTGCATGTGAAAGGTGTTTACAGTGTACTATGTAGCGTCTATGGCATGGAAACGAAAACAATGTTCAACAAAGCAGAAAATAAAGAACTCTGTGGAGCAATTTTGTCGTCATAATAATACGCCAAATAGAGAAGTTCCGTAGTAAAGAATTTCTTGTTATTTCTGTATGAATATGGCGATTGTATAACCTCTACCAGGCTTCAGGAGGCGACTGGAAAGAGTAGAAATCGGCCAAATAGAGAGACAACATGCCAGGGGAGTTGGTCTGTACCCGGGTGCGGCAAAATGTTCTCTCCCAGCAGACAAACTCCCCTGGCATGCTATCTCTCTATTTGGCCGATTTCTACTCTTTCCAGCCGTCTCCCGAAGCCTGGGAGAGGCTAGCGATTGCACGTAGTTGTAAGACTTTTTTGTAGTCTAGTCTATGTGACATTTGTTTTTCTTCATCTAGTTGTTTTTTTAAGGCTCGATCACATTCGTCATACGCAGTTGTGTGATTTTGATATCGTTGAATCCTCAAGTTAGCTGCAACACGTACAGACCGACAAGGATCTATACGACAGCCTTTTTGGTAGCAAGACAGTTGAGTTTGGTACTTTTCTACATAATTATGTCCAGAATACCTTCAATTTGCGGTCGTACAAACGAATGTGACCGTACAGTTAAAAACAGTAACAGTGAATTCATGTACATGGAATGACGTCTTTCACTTACCTCTGTGTCAATCACGTTTTCCTCTGACTTTCAAAAGATGAAGGTATTCCAAATAGTCTGTCTATCCACCAGGAAATGGCGATCGTTCGCTTGGTTTAAATGAGCTTCCTCCCCGAAGACGTAGGTATAGCCGAACGTCTACCGAAATGCATCGGACTGAATAAGTCGTCACGTTTTGTCGACACTACACAAAGGCCTTTGAAACAAGTATCTCCCGTTCGGACTTAAAGTAAACATGACAAAAAAAGGGTTGCCATGAACAGGTAACGTAACACTTCTGCTAAAAAGGACAGGTGTGGTGTTAAGGCGTCATTTGACCTTAAGGGCATACCACCACGTAGTACGCAAATTACTTAAGAGTAGTAATCGTCTATACATCATTGACACGTTTCTCTATAAATCTTGTCTTAACATTAAAGTTCTGAACTTTTTCTTTTGAAGAACTGTAGACCATTGAAACGCATCTAGTCAGGCAAGATACCGAATAATGTCAAAGGTATAGCTGTTCTATACGACATGTTAATCATTTGGCGACAACAAACACGTAGGAGTCAGTGACGATATAAAGGCCTCGTTGCACCACGACAAAACTAACTACTGTACAACAAGAAATGTTTGGCCAGAAAATATAGAAGCACTAAAACCAGCACATGAGACTAAAGGATGTGCTTTTTTTCTGTCATGAAAATATGATTACGAACTTAGACATCTACTATTTTACTTCTGTTTTTTTTGTGTCATTTTCTTCGAACAATAAAAAGGAATTATGACATTGATTTTATTTCAAGACAGAAATCTTTTTCCGACCCCGTTCTTATTGTTCGAATTTTGCAGTTTTGCAATTAAATTTATAAATATTTTGATTCTAGCCATATATGACAGTGAGGGAAACCATACATAAACTAGATTTTGAATTAGATTTTGCATCATGTCTACGGTCAAGCTGAGACCATAAGTAAACATGACATTGACAACTTCATATGAAAGACAAGAACAACATTGTGACAAGTACTGCTCTTAGAAGGCAGTCGCTGTTTTGTTTGTTTACTCAGGAGTTAAAGTCTTGTCCAGTCGTGTGTAAGGTGTCTCTGTCATCAATAAGGAACATGGCGAAACACTTAAACAAAACGTGGACGTATCTATCATCATCCACCTTTGTAAGGTGCAATACTATATTTGCCTATTGGATCCTAAAATCTATAGGATTCTATACAGTTTGATATTGTGATATTGTACAGTATTTACTTGGTGATTTTTCATAGATAAGATACTCTCAACATGTTTATATAAACGACTCCTACTTTGTTCCGATAGTAAGTAGTGTTACACGAGCATTATATACACTGCAATAGTAGAGACTAACCCACTGTTTTAAACTTATAACAGTGTATTTTGTTAGAGACTGGAAAAGCAGAATTCGCAAAACTGTGGTTGGACAGAAATTCAGGAGTAAATGTGAATGCAAGAAAGGTGTAAAAATACAACAGCATCTATAGATGTCAGACGGCAAATTTGTCACTGTCAGCAGTTATCAAAAGCTCTGTAACAGAATCCTCCTTTGAGGGACGCTTGTTTACATTTGCCGTGAATGCAATACGATAACCTGTAGATGGTAGTAGCTCGCGCGAAGATCGGGTGTCGGCGCCATGTTTGTTTTACGGCGCCATGTTTGTTTTACGTGCTACAATAGGTCACGTGTTCTGTCGTGGAGCGTGATGGGAAATACCTTTGGAAATTGGGATTTTCTTATTGGGAGAGATACCTCTGGTTCAAGACTTGATTGTTTAGTACTTTTATTTAGTACTTATAATTATTTGAGTTTAAAAACGTGTTAAGCGAAAAAAATGGTGTTAAACATTATTTTTTGTACCATTAGTTTTTTTAGGATAAAGTACCTACTTTGAAATCTAGTGCTGACAAAAAATGAGGTAACCCCCTCTCTAGCCCATTTTTTTTACCAGTAGGTATGTCTCAATATTACTGAATTCTCTCTTTGGTTCAGTCTTATACTAGTATATGGGCGAGACTAAAGAAGACTTTATTATGACCGTTTTCCTTATACGGCATTCAAGAAACTGTATATTAACTCTTTTTATCATAATTCATTCATTTTCTGTACATAAAAACCAAAGCAAAGCAAAGGTGATATGTTGTGCTCAACTGTTTTAAAGGTAAAGTCTTTTGTTTTCTTGAAAGTGAGAAAAGAATTTATCTATATCAAAATATGTCATTTGTAGAGTTCAAGGTCTTGGAGCCTTTTTACTTGCGATGACAAGTACATTTGCATTACGACAGGTGTAACTCAACTTAGCCTAGCGTCTTGTTTACAAACTGCAGCACTGACCCTTGAAAAAAAGGGGGCACGGTGTTCGATACAATGTTTCAGGCGACACCTGTTCCTGTTAACAACCTTTCTTCTTTCAATCCTGAAACATAAGTAGGGGATACCGTAGCAAACGCACGAATTTGTGCCACTTTGGTCCTAAATACGTGATTATTCGCTACAGAGAAGGCACAAGGAGGCACTTCTTTTGCAATTGACCTCTAACCTTTCCGTCAAACAATTGTAGGCCACCAGTGAGTGGGTTACATGATACAGTGTCTATTATATAGTATTGAAGAAGAAACTGAATTGCTTAGCGGCATGGCGTAGAACTAGAAATGTTACCACAAATAGTCTTCCTCTCGGCGTTTCTAGCTCGGATTGAACCAGGTTAGTACAGTTTAAACATTGATGATGATGTTATCTGTTATGTGTCAATCATCGTTAATCAGCATTTGAGTGTTCTGATGATTACTTGTCAATTAGCATGTCCTGTTGTACGTTTGTTTCTTGGGCCTGCTACCTGCTATATACCCCAATAATATTCATTGACCTTAGTTGCCGAGTCATATTTGGCGATGGCAACTGCATATACATGTACAGCTCTGTTTTTAGAATCCGGGTCCGATGAAAGACACTTACCGGGTCTCTATAGCGCTTGTTAAAAGATATTCTGAGTGTGTACTTGTTTGAAGAGGAGGGGTACGTGACTGAGTGGGGGTAGGTAGCACTGGAAGAAAACACATTGATCCGATATAATTCCGAGCTAGCATTGGCAGCCACATTACTGACATTACAGTAAGTTTACAGTTACTAAGCTGCAGTATAGTGACTAAAAATCTAGTGAATCAAAATGCTTGACGGTTTGTTCTTGTTTGAAGGGGAGGGGTGAGTGACTGAGTGGGGGTAGGTAGCACTGGAAGTAAACATATTGATCCGATATAATTCCTAGCTAGCATTGGGTGCCAGATTACTGACATTACAGTAAGTTTGCAGTCAGTAAGCTGCAGTATAGTGAATAAAAATGTAGTGAATCAAAATGCTTGACGGTTTTTCTGTGAAGGGGCGGGGCAGAGGTTTACGCGGGAAACCCTGACCGGAAGTGACGTCATCCTGCCCTGTGACGATGGCGCAGGCAACCCAAAGACCCTCGCCTGGACGGTCAACATCAACGGGAACGACCGGATCCTACTACTGGTGTCCAGCGGGGTCCTGAACAACCGTCCCCCGCCTGTCTCCTACTCAGGACGCCTGAACCTAGACGGGACGAAGGACCTGCTTCTGAAGGACGCGACCATTTCGGATGAAGGGGAGTACAGGTGTAAGGTCTCTCCCTACCGACTGTATGCTGATACCTTAGTGACGCTGAAAGTATACGGTGAGTACCAAAGTCCTGGATTCAGTAGAATGCATTGTTCATGAAAGCTAGATACTTGATACTTCGTAATTGAAAGCGAGGAAAAGAAGGATTTTGGTAACTTTTTAGTAACTGCAATCCCGTCTATTGTATGGAAGGCACCACATTTAACTGTTATAAAACTTAAATTGTTGAACATACGGTTGTGGTGCTATTACATATTTATAATGCTGGTAACGAAAGATTTCTTTCGGTTTGTTTAACGCAACATGACGATGCTACATTGCAGTTCAGTTAAGTCCCTTGAAAAAGCCTAATAGTTTGTCCTAATAGAGACATAGGATTATTTAAAATAAAAATTTTAAAATCCTTAAAATTACTTTACAGCTCAACCTAAGGCACCAAATATAACCGTCTACCCAGAAGATGTGGCCACGGGCGACGTTCCCGTTGGAACCAACGTGAATCTGTCCTGTACGGCAGCCGGCGGCCGTCCTGCCGCCAACATTGCCTGGACAATCACACCAAACAGACTGGCTCACACAGAACCGTCACTGTCTACTACTGAAGGCCCCGATGGACTCTGGGACGTGACGTCATCGATCAGTTTCGTCATGACCGGAAATAGAGTGACGTATGGCATCCGGTGTGACGTCACCGGACCAGGTCCCATCACCAATCAGAGCGCTACGTTAGTGCTTACATCTGGACCAGGTATGTTATTAATAACTTTCCGGTACGGAAGTATTGTTTTGGGTGACTGGGTTTTAAGTTTTTGTGTCTGTGTGTCTGGACGAAGTAGGTTGACAGCACGTGGGTGGGGGAGGATTGACAGGCTAACTGACAGGAGGTCAAAGGTCTCAGCATCTGGCCGGGAGCGAGTAGAAATCAGGGGTAAAAGAATTCAGAAAGCCGGGTATCGCATACTAGTACTTCCCGAAAGTCTGAAATCTTCTATTTCTTGTATAAAGTTTACTTGTTACTTGTTTCATTTATGCTAACGTTTAACAGAAAAGATAAAGAACCGAAGACCAACTAGGAAGTGGAAGACTTGTAAGTACAATCTATGTATGTATGTATGTACGATTCTGTTCTCAAACGTATGATTTTGTATGTATTTCAGACACAGCCCAACAACTGAGTACGGGTGCGGCCGCGGGTGTAGCTGTGGGGGTCATAGCAGGGGTTATCATTGTCGTCATACTGGTCCTGTTTTTTGTAAGATACGTCACAGGCCCAACTTTCGGGGACACTAGAAGTTTCGAAGGTATGTAGGTCTTATATTTTCAGGGGGGGGGGTTGCTCTGTTTCTTCTCCCTCTTCTTCTCCAAACAAATAAGTTCAACCAGACGTCTGTCACCATGGTAACTGGTGTTGGGTTACATCATGTTGCAACTTTATAGCAGGAGGGATTTAGACTCCTTTCACCATATATATGAATGTGTTTGAATAAGACTTAACAGAGCAGAGCGAAGGTAGACATTATGCATTTGCTTTGCAAATTTTACCTTTCTAGTAATGTTTTTGCTCAGATGATGAATTATATTATTTAACGTTTTACATAAATTGCGAATGTTAAATTGCTATGAAAACAATTGCAATCCCTCAAACACAGTTAAACGTGCATGAAACTCATCCAAAAAGGTCATTCTTATATTTTCTATTTTGCAGGTGGGTTTGTGAACTTCCGCATGTCCTTCTCACGTCACAGCAGAGAGAAGAGCGAGCTTAGCAACAAGTCGGATGTACAGCCAACTGCTCCCCCTACCGATGCATCTCCGAATAGGAGGCAACAAAATCACCAAGAAGCAAGATGGCAGTCTCACCGAAAGCCCCGACCTCAACCTCAGGACCTACCCCCCGGAACAGATCCGAGTATGTTCACTAGTACACCACGCGATCAGACCTACGAAAACTACATCAAGTGGTCGCCATCATTTGTATTGTACAGTAAAGAGTCAAGTGTACAAGTTTAACTGCTGAGCATTAAAGTTCATCTGTGTTATATACGTATATTATACATCATATATACTTATACTTCATTATGACAAAAAGGACTAAACGTTCTTGCCAACACTGAATAAATTGGGACTTAACAAAATTTTCGGAGACGGGGGGCGACACAGGTTATCTGACACGTACGACCCTCTGCTGCTATCACGTATTTCCGACGTCACGTCCCGGAAGCTGCAGTGGAAGGGTCCATTCCGTGAACAAGGCTGACGGAGTCGGCTGAAAATTTGGGTAAGTCCCAATTTACTCAGGGTTGGCAAGAACGTTTACTCCATTTTGTCATAAGTTTAATTGCTGTGAACTGACAATTACAAGTTTTTGTTGAATGCCATTGGATTATGACATTGTTAATAGGGATACTTATTTTATGTCTAGTGGTGACGTGAATATAAGCTTGAGTGCGTCACCACTATGTATTGTATTTTTGCATGTTGGAAATAAAAAAATAATAATAATAGGGATATAATGTTTTGCCTATTACCCATATTGCATGAAAGGCATTTTGAATATCCGAACCTCGTATGGATTTCCAATTATAGTTCATGATTATTAATTCTTGTGTTGTACTGATCGCTAGCATTTTCAACGTTTGTATATACATGTATCATCATTTTTCTAACTTTTTAATCTTTTTGTATGGTATTTCTGATGCACATATCCAAGTCATTAAAACATATACTACTCAGTGGCCCTGTCTTGTCTGTTGTGTGCTATGCCCCATGTGCTAATTATGTTTACCGAAGGAAAACATTGTTTTTGCTCCTTTTCTTCTTCTCCAAACAAATAAGGTCAATGACCTGAACCAGACGTCTGTCACCATGGTAACTAGTATTGGGTTGAAAGAAGGAGTTAAACTGGTACTCACCACAAATTTCAGCAGAGAAGCTTTCACTAAAAGTTTCAGATGGCATCCGCCATCTTTCTTCAGCTCATAAGAGGGGTCACGTGACGTGACCTAGGTGTCAAAGGTCACCCAGGTCACGTGACTGGACGAGAGAGTTAAGACATTTCATTTGTAATATTGCTTCTTAGAGCAACACGCATAGTTAAAATACAAGACGTCTGGCACAACATTTGTAAAATTGCAGCAGCGACACCTAGCTGTAGTACATGTACGTATCAGAACCAGTAACCGAAATATCTATATATATAACGTCCTTGCCAAAATGTAAACAAAAACACTCTTTCACGGAGATACAGATATAGTACAGCAAACTAGATGCGTTGAAGTAACAACAAGCTGCTTGGTGCGTCATTTGCCTCCAAAGTTGCCCCCTCCGTCCGTGACTTAAAAGGCCAGAACGACTTAATTTTATGGATGACATCCTCAGAAGACCCCCAAACTAGTGCGCGCGGGCGAATAAAAAAAAATTCCGGCCAAAAATAAAAATGCTACTAAACCACAGGAATGCAAAGCTGGAATTGTGAATTTGCAGCTGTTCATAGCGACGTATACGACAAGCCGGTACGTGCTGGCTTTTTGTATCAATGTAAATCGGTATGTACTGAGTTCTTGAGTCGTGGAGCTTCGGCAGCCTGGGTTTTGTCGCTCCGTTTTGTCGCTAACTACTACCATGGAGTACCCAGGCCTAGAGCCCGGCCAGACCCTCGGAGGACGTGATCTTTTGTTTTTGGAGAACAAAAATCAATGGGCGCACTGATGTCATCCATAGAATTAGGTCGGTGTGGCCTAACAACAAACTGCTTGCCCGCAGCTTGGTGCGTCATTTGCCGCCAATGTTGACCCCCCCTCCGTCTGACTGAAATAACCTGTGAACAATCCGGTCAATGTTAGCAAAGCGTTGAGCCACACAATTCGGACTATGAGACAAACCTCGTGCCAAGTGGATTAAAGTAATCCTTGATACCACGCCGATAACATAGCGACCATTCTAGCCAGGATTTAAATAGCATGGACTGGAGTACGAGTGGCCTTGTACAATACAAAAATATAACACAAAATCGGAGATTTCAAACCACCGGGTTTTAACTTATAGGAACAATCAAAGAGATGGTCTAACGTACTTATTACCGAGTATGTCTTTCGGTAGTCAAGGCAGTGTAGTATCCAGTACGCAAAACAGTATCCTTTTGGAAAGGTATTATTTGCCTTTATCATATACTGCTGGACAAGATTTGCCTGGCACCACGCTGTACTATATGTATCCTGTATCCGTGAATAGTTTCATCAGGTTGGTAAGACACTGAGTAAAGAGACTCTTTTGCACAACCAAGTCTTTTATTCAGCCGACGTTTCGATCGTCTGTTTTCCGTTAGTACATGATTGAATGCCATGAACTAAATGCCTTATCCTGACTTACAACCAATCCAGAGTTCTAGCATCTGTCCTTCCTACGTGACTGAATGTGTGGAAAGCGCACGGCTATGACTTGTACGACTCTAGCTCTCTCGTCCACATGTCACCCAGCCCACCCATGTTGAATGTGATGGGGTCGATTTCAGGCAAAAATACGCAATTTTTTTTATTCCAATATTTCATGACCAAACATGGCGACGGCACACTCAAGTTGTATCAACTTATTTTATGCCGCCACCAACACAGAGTACAAATACAGGACAGGACAATACTCATTTCCACTTGAGTTAAGTGAGTAAAGTCGTGTAAAGTGCCTTTCCCAAGGGCACAAGATCGGTGGCATGTCAGGACTCGAACCTGGGACCTCTTGGTTCCGAGTCGAGCACACGACACCACATACGCGATTTTGAACCTTCTGGCAATCAGGGCCGTGTGATATGATAGTGTGACGCCCGAACACACCGCACCCTTGTGTTGGTTTACAGTGAAATCTACCACCTATGTGTCACGCAGGCTAGAAGTTCTGCGACGTTACGTCCGGAAAGTAACCCGGGAGTTAAGAACAAACTGCCGGTTACCCCGGTAAGGTCACTACGGTGGTCCGACCTCCATTTAGATCACAAACAAATCAGTACAAATAGGCCCGGGGAGACGGGACACCCTGATCCCTCTCACGACCCCGCGAACTCTGCCGGCAGTGTAAGATTGAACCATTAAGTACGCCACTCACACAGCCAATAACCACTTGTACATCCATAACTCAAGTCAGGGTGTGTTGTATATATCTATATATGAATTAATGTATTATAAAACAAGATTGATATGTAATTGCCAACACAAAGAATTAGACTCACCCAAATTTTCGACTGTACAACTTTAATCTTTGTCTAGAAATGAGTTTAAAGACTTCTACCAACACAGATGAACTTTCAAGATATGAAATAATGTAGTATTAGACTTGATATATGGAACTCATAAGCGTTACTGTAGACGTTATAGTAGATATCCCATTGATATGTAATAACTCTGAAGAGCTTTCCATAATTATACCTGCTAAAATTGTTGTGAAATAAAGTTTGATTTGATATTAATGGTATTTTATTTATTTTCCTTTCCCGTAATATTTAAACAGGGTGACCCATTCAGTGATGGCACTGCTTTTCAATGGGGCCCCGTATATCTGGGTTTATGATGGAGGGTAGGAGATCTTTACCGGGTTAATGAAAGCTCCCTAGAGTAGCAATCTTTTTTGTTGTATCTATCATCGTTTGAAATATTCGTCAAAGGTATGGGTGTGAATAGCATTGATTGAGAGTTTGTAGGATCTTAAATTCTTACTGAGGGGAGGGGCAAAGACTTACTTAGTTTGAGGTGAGTACATAGTAAAGGGGAGTGTACTAACTACATACTAGATGTACTATGTACAGTTCATGACTAATAAGATTTTTATTTTCCTCCACTAGCACATGGATAACATTTTTGTGAATGAAATTTATGCTGGAAAGGAAGGAAGAATTTGCTACATGGTTGTATTTTTCTGATCTCTTTTCTCAACGCTATTCAGATGATATGAAAAGTATGATAACTATATGAAACTGTTTACTTATCATAATTTGTCACGTACTCACAACTCAGTTACAATTTGCCATAAGCGTTATTTTAACATTCACGACTGCAGTGATCTCTACAGCTATAGCCGTCGTGCTATGGTAAAGTATCGGTACATTCTGACATTCTGATATATGATAGTTGTGATGCACAGAGCTGATGACTGCAGATTACATGTCTATATGACACTATCAATAGCATCTAACAACCGTAAAGCTAAATATAAACCTTCAGCAACGATCAAGTCACGCAAGTTCAATGCATGTTCTTTCAAATACATTTTGGCATGGCCAGGAGGCTTCTAGTAAAAATAAAGTAAAGTATGATGAACTCTGTATGACCTGTATCATGATTTCTGTCTTTGAATTTATAAAAAAGAGGTGCTAGTGTAACGGAAATGAAAAGAAACCTACAGCGGGGGTCGCTGAAAGACAGACGAAGAATGTCCAGACTGTGCATGATGTACAAAATGGCTAATAAACTGGTGGACGTACCAACCACTAAGTATCTGATACCAGCCCAGAAAAGAACAAGAAACAGTCATGCCTTCAAATATCAGAGTTATCAACCAAGACTTGAGGTGTTCAAAAACTCGTATTTCCCAAGAACTATCGTAGACTGGAACTCGTTGCCACCAAAGCCATCATCACTAGAAAGTTTTAAACAGCTACTGCAACTAAAAGTGCAAGGATGGAGTGTAACAAGTCGCTCGGTGTGATATAGCTAGCTGCCGCCGCGCCGCGTGCCTGCGAAGCTGGTGTGTCACGCCGAAGGGCGGTTATACTGGCTATACTGATACAGATACAGACGATTTATATAACAGGGATTTTCGGGGAGATACAAGAATATCATGTGAAGTTCACTAGGCTAATATTAGCAGTACGGTCACGGCCATGGTCACACCGTCGGTATTCTGTCGGAATGAGCAGAATGTTCATCCCGGGATGTTACACGTACTGGGGCGTCTAGGTCTGGGGGCATGGCGTCATGGTTGTAGAATGTTGTCTTTGCATGCATGGGTGGTTGACTGGTTGTTGTATCCAGGACCGTTCTTTGCCCGAGCAACCTTTGGGTAGGATCAGAAGTCTATATTGCCAATGGTTACAGGTGGCCAATGGATACAGTAGGCCAAGGCAGACTCTTATTGCCTCACAGAATCTGCTTGGAGGATCAAGCACGGTTCTGGATGGTCTCCGCGCATCCAAGAACGTAGATCAAGGCACGGTTC